TATTTTTACAAGTCATTAGAACCCCTCTACTTTCTATTCATATAAGTATTAGCATTTTCATTTTCATCAATGAAAATAAGGGAACCCATCTTTAATGAACATGACTATCTTTCTGCTAGTTTTCTCCTCGTGAAAATTTGTATCAGATACGATACTAAGCTCCCCGCCAAATACTAAATTGTAAAAATGATAAATAAATACATGTTGGACGTGTAGCTAGAGGGTTAATTATTATCGAGCCATTATCAGAACGAGTTTAGGAAGCTACGGACATATTGAAATCTCTCGAAATTTATACAGTCATCATGTACAAGAGATTTGAAACATCCGTTCGAAGTTCCGCTATTTAACGATTATTGATTGGTTAATGCCATCAATTACCTTCGGCAAGCGACCAATGAATGAGCCCCTTGATGATTCTCGTAAGTTTAAAGGAGAACTGCATGAAATTTTATGATCCAAAATATTTGTCTGTGGTTCCTGTAATTCCATAAAACTAAGTGTTTGATGATGTCACTAATCACGAAGGGTTGTATGTGATGAAGCAGATTTTGCGATTAGCGATGTCATCAATCACTTAGTTTTAACGCAATTGCAGGAACCACAAACGTCTGATTGGAAATTAGAATGGTGTAAATTGATGCTATCAGTGTCCCTGATACACATAAAAATTTTAGAAAATCTTTTCACAATCTCTTTAATTCCTAGAAGACGACAACACAGTTTGACGTTGCAGACGAGAATATTCAAATCCCAGCAGATGACAAAACAAGATGAATTGTGGGCAAATCAATGCCAAGATGAGAATAGCTCCAACCCGTTCCTTCGGTGCGAAAAGCTTCAGTTGGAATGACGTACTAGTTTAATATTAATTAGGCTGAAAAATTTCCCACCTTTCGACAAATTTCCCGGCAGACACCAAAGCAAGTAGGTACTGTTGCTAGGTTAGTAGGCTAATTGAGTAGCGAGGGCAGGAAGCCAAACTTGATTGAACAATTCGACAATTTCCAGTCTTCTGATGACTTTTAGTCTTGAAAATTACCTCTGGAGAAAAGTAATAAGTTTTAAAGATGGCTTCCCTTATTTTTTTGTGTCAAAATAAGCAAACTATTAGATTAATTGGTGTTTCTAATGAATTATCATGTATTCTTAATCATATCATTATGTTCTTATTGCATATAATTAAGAGTTTTAACCAATCATAAATGTCCATGAATGTACAGTCTGAATAAACAAAAAAAGAATTTTTGACCTTTCTTGATCGGTCACTCATTGGAATTCTGCTGGTAATTCTCTTCTAATTTAATTATTATGAATTAATTATGGACATGTGAGACAAACTGGTATTTTTCCAAGTCATTAGAACACCTCTACTTTCTATTCATATAAATATTAGCATTTTCATTTTCATAATTAAAAATAAGGGAACCTATCTTTAATGAGTTTTTAAATTAACTCTTAGTTTGGTGAAAAAATCAATTGTTTTTACTTTAAATAGATCACTTCTGTCATTAGACATCCTATAACAGATTTCATATCAGTTACAAGTTGAAAAAAGCCAACGTTCTCCCGCATTTTGAATTGCTTGTTTTAAAGAGAGCCGTAGTGGCTCAGTGAGTAAGATGCTTGCTCGCTAACCTGAAGGTCCAGGGTTCAATCCCAGCATAGGTTGAGAAGATACCTTCGGATTTTTCAACCCACTAGACGCTTGCTTGCTCACTAACCTGAAGGTCCAGGGTTCAATCCCGGCATAGGTCGAGATAATACATTTGGATTTTTCAACCCGGTTTCCCCCTGTCAGTGATACAGGTACGAGGGGCTGACATGGAAAAAGTGTCTAGTCGTTCAGATGGGACAATAAACCGAGGCCCTGTTTGCTACAGGCTGTGCACATTAAAGATCCCTCGACAGTTGGAAACCGAAAAAGAGCCAGCTAATGCTGCTGTTCTGGCAAAATTTCCCTCATTGTACACTGCATGGCGTTGTCTGTCTTCATTAGCCTACATGGAGCAGAAAAGTAGGACGTAAAAATCCAAAGGTATTATCTCAGCCTATGCTGGGATTGAACCCTGGACCTTCAGGTTAGCAAGCAAGCATCTAACTCACAGAGCCACCGTGGCTCCCATTAGCTCTATGAAGAGCCACGCAGTAGGATGTAAAAGTCAATATCATTTACAGTCTACTAGCTTCAAACCAGAGTAAAAAAAGAATAAATCTCTTCATTTCAATTTGAAGTCTTATTATTTATTCATTGTCATAAAATCACTTAGTGACACCTGACTAACTCAGCTACATCATTAGACTTAAAGGGATTAGACTTAAAGGGATTGTAAAGAGGTTTTCTAAATTTTTAATGTGTATCAGAGACACTGATAGCATGACTCTCGAAATTTAAGCCTTCAAATCCATGTGTGTCTAGAATTATCTGCGTTTAAAAGTTAAAATGACGACTTGTCTTTTCTTGAGACACTGTGATATATAGAAAAGACATCTATAGAAATAGTGAGTAAAATTCCTAGTTTGAGATATTTTTAAAGGAATTATGTGATATGCAATATCAGGGACACTGATAGCATCAATTTTCACCATTCCAATTTTTAATCAGACGTCTGTGGTTCCTGCAATTCCACTAAAACTAAGTGTTTCATGACATCGCTAATCGCAAAATATGCTTGTAACACATAAGACCCTTTGTGATTAGTAACGTCATCAAACACTTAGTTTTAATGGAATTGCAGGAACCACAGATGTCGGATTGAAAATTAGAATGATGTAAATTGATACTATCAGTGTCCCTGATACACATAAAAATTTAGAAAACCTTTTCACAATCTCTTTAATTCCTAGAAGACGACAACACAGTTTGACGTTGCAGACAAGAATATTCAAATCCCAGCAGATGACAAAACAAGATGAATTGTGGGCAATAGGGAGTAAAATTCCTAGTTTGAGATATTTTTGAAGGAATTATGTGATTTTCGTACATTTCTAGTACTTCTGAAGACTATTTACATATATTCAAGTCACAAATCAACTCTTCAAAAATGGAGAACGTGTTTCTTTAAGGGCATAAACACTCCATTTCATTTGCAGGAATTGGTTTTTGGTATAGAATTCTAACTAAAAGACATGAGATATAATACCAGGCTGTAAAAGACAAAATCCTGACTTTTGGTATTTGAAATTAATTTGGAATTATTCCATTTCAGCCTGAGAATTTCTTTATCGTGAAATCCGATTAGGTTTTTTTTTTGTCTTAAAATGCGATTCGGTAATTTGTTAAACTAGAGTGTCAACATATAGAATAATTTTAGGGTGTGCACGATATCAAAATGATAAGAATTACATGAGTGCTACTTGATGCTTCAAAGGGAGAGTGAGTTTTTGAATTAGGCCCTTGATTCAACAAGTATCTGTTTATTTTAGACTAGAGAGCAGCTCATAACAGTTTCAGTGCATAGAATGATTTTGGGGTGTGCACAATATCAAAATGATAAGACTTACATAAGTGTTACTTGATGCTTCAAACTAAGGCCCTTGATCAAATTAGAAGCTATGAGTAAGTGCTAGTGCTTATTCAAATGGACTAGTTATTGATAGTGTTTCATTAGCATTTTCACGTCCCTGGACATTTTTGGATGCAGCGTCAGTCATTTTCATTCATAGCTTATAACTGTTTTGATTGCAGAAGAACTGAAAGTTGAAACTCAAATCTGATAAGTCAAAGAGATAGCTGATATTAAGAAATGAAATGATTGATTGCAGTGAGGTTTCAAATTTGGGTCATATCAGGAACACCTGATGCCATTCTGCTCCTGAGTTATTCAACGGGGAGTTTTGGGGAGTTCACGTACTGATTGAACGATTTTATCTTACAAAGATTATGATTAAATGCTATTTAAGTCATTTTCATCCAGTCTCAAATCAAAGAGAAAGATGAATGACTATTTACTAATCACTGAAGATTAAGGCTGGAAGAATGAGACACAACTCATCTGTCTTCTGCTAGGATATTGAATCAAGAACCATAACTCATGTCAATTAAAACTCACTGGGGTTGAACGTTAGAAAATAAATAGCCAATCAAAGCTTATCTTTCAAATAACTGTCATTACAATGTAGGCTAATACAGAATTGAGACTGTTTCACGCCATTTGGGGATGATTGACGCCAAAATTAGGCACGATTCACGCCATTTGGACATGATTGACGCCAAAATTATGGACGATTGTGGCTATTTCTTGCTGTAGTCAAGATTAACTAGAATTTGGTTGTCATTTTAGACTATAATTTGACTGGATATCCAAAGCTATTTTGAACAGATCGATGCCGTTAATTTTTGCCAAATGTTATTTTGATTGACGTGTCTACTTCCGTCATGTGTTCAAATGGTTACGTTTTTTAAATAACCCATGAAATTAAGTATTCTGTCATGTTTTTAATTTAGTATTTACAGGGTTTCTCTTCAGCACATAACATACCCACAATAAACTATAATAACTGATCAAAACAAGAATATACTTCTATGACACAAAAATAACCCATGAAATTAAGAATTTTGTCATGTTTTTAATTTAGTATTTACAGGGTTATTTTGATTATTAATTGATTATTGATCGATAGTCTGCCAATGTCCATCTCAATTTGAGTTCTAACGATCCAAACCACAAAACGAAATCCAAAATCCAAACAACATATTGGCAACACATTAGTTCGAGCTGATTTCATGAAAGTGGAAAATTGCTCAATGCTACCAAATTTTGCTCAAATGAGGAAGATGACTTTCACACACTGACGGAGATAAGAACCCACAACCACCATTTATTGGACATCGAATCCCAACACTCTAACTGGCAGTGCTACTGTCTGTCCTGCTAAATTTCCACTGTTCCATTGTGCCAAGTTTATGATTTTTTCAACCTTTGGTGCTTAGATTGGTAGTAGAAAATGGCGCGCGTTATATTCAGAATTATACAGTATATAAACTTTGTAATTTCAGGTTTGCTATGGTTATTTTGTGCCTTGTTCTAAGTGTATTAGCTTCCATTCAAGAATTCCAAAAAATGTTGAGTTGTTATGTTATGTATACAGTAAGTATTTTCTTTTTTGATCCACGAAGTTGTTGGTCCTGGATTTAATCCCATACCTGCAGATTTTTCAACCCGGTTTCCCCCTGTCAATGATACAGGCAAGAGGAACTGACATGGAAAAAGCGTCTAGTCGTTCAGATGGGACAACAAACCGAGGCCCCGTGTGCTACAGACTGTGTACGTAAAAGATCCCTCGACAGTTGGAAAATCGAAAAAAAAGTTTTCTCCATTTTTTATGTGTATCAGGGACATTGATAGCATGAATTATGATTAAGAATACATGATAATTCATTAGAAACACCAATTACACAAACACCAATAGTTTGCTTAATTTGACACTAAAAAATAAGGAAACCCATCTTTAAACTTGCTAAAATAGCAGTGGCCCATTTTGTCTATGTTCTCAATGGTTCCTGGATGTTCAAATATATTTACTGGACCACAATGCACTCTGTTGTGTTTTTACAGGAAATTGTAATGTTATTATGGATTGCTTCGGAGTTTATGTTGAGATTATGGGCTTCTGGTTGCCGTTCACGATATCAGGGATTACGGGGTAGAATGAGGTTTTTTAAACGACCTCTTTGTATCATAGGTAAGTCAGTATCTCGAATCATTAAAGTACATTAAGTACATGGAATCATTAAAGTACATTAAGTACCTCGAATCATTAAAGCACATTAAGTATGTGGAATCATTAAAGTACATTAAGTACCTCGAATCATTTAAGTACAGTAAGTACCTCGAATCATTAAAGTACATTAAGTACCTCGAATCATTAAAGCACATTAAGTACGTGAAATCATTAAAGTACATTAAGTATGTGTAATCATTTAAGTACATTGAATCATTGAAGTAGGCTACATTGGATGTTGGGTCATTAAAGTACCTTGAATCATTTAAGTACATGGAATCATTAATTACTTGGAATCATTAAGTACATTGAAACCATTAAAGTACATGGAATTATTAAACTATGTTGGGTCATTAAAGTACCTGGAATCATCTAAGTACATTGAATTTTTAGGATCATTTACGTACATTGAATCATTAAAGTTCATTGAATTATTAATGTACTTGAAATCATTAAAGTACATGAAATCATTAAGCACCTGAAATCATTAAAGTACATTAAGTAGGTGGAATCATGAAGTACTTGAAATCATTAAAGTACATTGAAAATAAATGAAACAAAATATCTAGAATGAGTGACTTAGCTCATTGAAAATAAATGAAACATAATATCTATTTCTCTCAAGCAGTTGGTATGTAGTAAATTAAGAGCTGTCACGAGGTATTTTAATGGACAGTTTGAACTTCTACTGGAGGTTGACGAAGGCCGCAAGCCAAACACAAATAGAGAGCTAATGGCTTTAAGATACAAACGGCTTAAAACTAGGAAGCCTTATTAAGACCATTATAAACTTCTTGTCACACCAGATAGTATGACTCCTGTTATTGGAGAAAAGTGCTTATTAAAGGGACAGATGCACCATCCGTTTGACCAATGGTACCTTAGTCTTAGAAACAGGAATTTTTTAGCTAAGCTAATCAGTAATAGTGTTTACAGCTCACTGTCGAAATTTGAGCCTTCAAATCCATGTGTGTCTAGAATTATCCACGTTTGAAAGTTAAAATGACGACTCGTCTTTTCTTGAGACACTGTCATATATAGAAAAGACATCTATAGAAATAGTGAGTAAAATTCCTAGTTTGAGATATTTTTAAAGGAATTATAAGATTTTTGTAAATTGTGGGAAGGTTCCCTTTAAGTGATAAAATTCTATTTTGAATGGAAATGAGTAATTAGTATACAAGTTTCATTCATTTGGTAGAAATTAGTTTGTATCTTTCCAAGATGACAGGGGAAAAATGGCTATGGAATTATCAGACACCTTTATGAATAAATTCCATTCGCTTGTCAAAGAATGTCTTTATGATTCCAATTTGCGTTGTCAAAGACTATCCTGATATTCCAACTTGGAATTTTAGACCAATTTTTCACTATTCTGCCAAACCTAAAATGGTCATTTTCAAACCAATTTTTCACTATTCTGCCAAGCCTAAAATGGACATTAAAAATTCTTCTGGTTGTTCCTACTTTTCATCCTGGAAGCAGTATCAGGAAATATCAAAGACTATTCTGACATTCTTGCATGGAATTTCAGACCGATTTTTTTGCCATTATGCCAAGCTTTATATGGTAATTTCAATGCCTCTGGAACCAATTTCAGGAAGTATTTAAGAACTTGCTTCCTGTTTGATAGTTTATATCTGTAAGAATTTAATTGGATTCTTTGCGTTTATTTTTTTATGGTTTCTGAGTACTTACCTTCAGGCTGTTTTTTTTTAATGAATAGAGTTGTCTGAATTATTGCCATCTTATTTATAATTTTGCCATCCGTATCACTTGTTAAAATGATTTTATTGCATCAGTAATATTTATAGTAGAGATTGTTAAAGGCATTGTAAAGGGGTTCGCTAAATTTTTTATGTGTATCGGAGACCCTGATAGCATCAATTTGTACCATTCCAATTTTCAATCAGACGTCTGTGATTCCTGCAATTCTACTAAAACTAACCGTTGTATCTCATATACAGTTTAGCATTATCGTTTCAATGCTCTGTAAGATAGTCTACTTCTGTACTTTCATTGTATACAAACCATGTGTCAGAGTCTCAAATTGAAAAATGAATTTCTCTTTCAGATTTTATATTAGTAGCTGCAAGCATCACAACTTTAGCCATTGGTGGAACACAAGATATGTTCGCAACTTCCTCTCTTCGGGGTCTTCGCTTCTTCCAAATTCTACGTATGGTTCGAATGGATAGAAGAGGAGGAACCTGGAAACTCCTGGGCTCTGTTGTGTGGGCCCATAGGCAGGTATGTGCTTTATTGCCCTTTTTTGGCGAAGGGGAGGGGCTGGGATGTTGATTTGAGTTTTGAATATGTTTAAATAGTCTTCAGAAATACTAGAAATGTACGATAATCAGATAATTCTTGACACACATGGATTTAAAGGCTCAAATTTCGACAGTGAGCTGTGAACATTATTACTGATTAGCTTAGCTAAAAAAAAATTCCCGTTTCTGAAACTAAGGTACGATTGGTCAAAAAAATGGCGCACCTTTCCCTTTCCATTAAACCCAGCTGTAAATGGGTACAGAATAAGTCATCTTTCCTCATTATTCCAGTCAACCCAGCTGTATATGGGTACAGGTAATCCAGGAAAGATCAATGCCAAAAGGTTTGGTCAAGGACCAGCTGGTAGAAAGGATCCTCATTATTCCAGTCAACCCAGCTGTAAATGGGTACAGGTAATCCAGGAAAGATCAATGCCAAAAGGTTTGGTCAAGGACCAGCTGATAGACAGGATTCTTAAGAACCTAAGTTGTTATCCTTGTAAAATATAGTTTTTTCTTTCATCATTTCATCAAGGCCTATGTTTCTGAAGTTAAAAAACACTTCAGGCAAGTGGTCTCAGGTGTTCTGTGCATGATACACTGATGAAATATGTGGCATCATTTTGATAAGGCAGCTGCATGGAAGACTCCAATTTTTTCTGCGAGACGTTTTCATTACAGAAGAGTTCTGTAAAAAATACACTTAAATTTTTAAAAATAATTTAATTGCTCTTGAAAAAAAATCATTTTTGCAAGTTTTAGATATTTTTTTGCACATTCAAAGTTTATTGTCAACTCAGCATAATTTTTGCAGAATCCACCGCCATATTGCTTTTGATATTTTTCAAAAAAAACCAAGGCCATATTATATGTGGGGGTTGTGCTAGTCAGATAGACTGTGCAGTCTCTGATAGATATTTTGAAAGTTGTCGGCTGGTGTAGAGACAGAAAAATTAGGCCCTGTTTTATGGGGATTTTTCATGAAAGAAAAACAGAAAGGAAAATATTTCAATGGATGTTGTCTACATGACAGAATTATCTGATGTTTTTGGCGCCTAAATTTTCAGGCGCCAACATTTTCAGGCAATGTTTCTTTAAGAGAACTGCATGAAAATGTAAGGAACCAAGTGCAGCCAAATCTTTAGGGAAATCAAAGCTGATGAGATTGACAGACATATGCTACTGTCTGTCTGAATCCTACTTTCATTAATTCGATTTCCTCTCAAGTTTTTGTCTGTCAGAGAGATTTAAAGATGGGTTCCCTTATTTTTATTTATGAAAATGAAAATGCTGATACTTATATGAATAGAAAGTAGAGGTGTTCTAATGACTTGGAAAAATACCAGTTTGTTTCACATGTCCATAATTAATTCATAATTAGCTAAATTAGAAGAGAATTACCAGCAGAATTTCAATGAGTGACCGATCAAGAAAGGTCAAAAAGTCTTTTTGGTTTTGTTTATCCAGACTGTACATACATGGACATTTATGATGGGTTAAAACTCTTAATTATATGCAATAAGAACATAATGATATGATTAAGAATAAATGATAATTCATTAGAAACACCAATTAATCAAATAGTTTGCTTAATTTGAGACTAAAAAATAAGGAAACCCATCTTTAATTTGACACTAAAAAATAAGGAAACCCATCTTTAAGAGAAAATAGTGGAATTCTTTGTTACTTTTAACAATTTTCAAGGCATTTTATGGTTTAATTTTTGGGGTTTTTCTAATTGAACTTAAAGGAACACTACCTCTTAGAACGAACATAAAATTTAAAATCTCAAACTTGGTCAATAAGTGTATATATTCATCAGTTGGACTTACCAGGTGTCAGGACTAAAGAATAGAATCTCTATATAACACTATATATCTATTAAACTAAATAATTATTGAAAAACACTTCTAAGCTTTTTTCAAAATTACTTATTTTAATGGATTATTACTTTGGAACCACAGACGCCTGATTAAAAATTAGAATAGTGTAAATTGATGCTATCAGTGTCCCTGATACATATACAAAATTTAAAAAACCTCTTTACAATCCCTTATATATTTGATACATTTGAATGTGAGTGAATTTCATTCCATTTAATGAGAGTTATCTTTCCTTTGTTTTCAGGAATTGATAACAACACTGTATATTGGTCTATTGGGGCTAATCTTCTCATCATTCTTAGTCTACTTAGTGGAGAAAGATGCATTGGGTCAGGCATTTGGGAAAGATGGAGGTCCCATCAAACGATTTTCCAGTTTTGCGGATGCTCTATGGTGGGGCGTGGTAAGTACCTAATCATTTAGTCATAAAAACTCTACCTTTACCGGTGCTCTTGAGAGTAGGTAGTCTTACAAACTTTACCGTACCATCAGTGCTTTCCAGGTAGTCTTTTAAACTCTACTGTACTGCCAGTGCTTTCTAGAGTAGGTAGCTTTACACACTCTTACCCATCGTTGAAACTCTACCCTTGCCGGTGCCTTCGAGAGTAGGAAGAATGTTAAAATCTACCCTTCCGTTGCTTTCGAGAGTAAGTATTCTTATAAACTCTACCCTACTGCCCGTGCTTTTGAGAGTAGGAAGTCTTATAAACTCTACCCTCACCGTTGCTTTCGAGAGTAAGTATTCTTATAAACTCTACCCTCACCGTTGCTTTCGAGAGTAAGTATTCTTATAAACTCTACCCTACTGCCCGTGCTTTTGAGAGAAGGAAGTCTTATAAACTCTAACCTACTGCTGGTATTTCTTTTCATATAAATTATATAGTCAAATTGGATATGAAAAAAAATGCAGTCAGAGTGAAGTTACCCACAGAAAAAGGAGAAACAAAATATCTAGAATTGTATTTCAATTAGATTGCCGTAGGATCAGTTTAAATTTAATCTAAAAATGTTGTCAGATTAAGTGAAGTAGCACATAGAAAAAAAAGGAAACAAAATATCTAGTTTAGGTCAAACCATCTACAAAATAATGTTGTGAGAGCTAGAAAAAGTGAAGTGAGACATAGAAAAAAAATGAAACAAAATATCTAAGAGCTGTATTTTAAATACATATCAATATTCATGGAACATGTTAAAGAATGTCAGGAATCTGTGGAATGGTAATTACTGGAATCCTCGCAGGATTTAACTCTCGTTAAGGTTGTGCAGATCGATTACCAGAGCCATCAAGGCAACAGATGTTTATCTGCATTTGAAAGTTCAAATTGCAATGCTGGTTACGGAATGGAATGGAATATTAAACCTGTCTCTACTCTTTCTAGTTTGGCTTGTGTGAGCAGTATGCAATGGGGTAAATTTTGCCAAGACAGTGCTCAAGCATGTATTACACCGGGCCTCAGTTTATTGGCTGACGCTTTTTCATGCCTGCCTCTTTGAACTGCATCACTGACAGGGGGACACACAGTTATTTTTTTTGGCAAACAAGAAACTATTCGCCTATCCTCACTGCCTATCCTCCCTGCCTATCTTCCCTGCCTATCCTCCATGCCTATCCTCCCTGCTTATCCTCACTGCCTATCCTCCCTGCCTATCCTCTCTACCTATCCTCTCTACCTATCCTTTTTTAAGTCCTGAATCAAAATACAGGGTTTTTATCAGCAGTGACAAGAATGAAAACATTATATGACGAGATACATGATAAAGTGAAACACGGTAAAAATATAGTCTCAGACATGTTCAATTATATTATAATGGAATAAGCATGGAATAAGTGATGGAATCTTCCTGCAAATAATCAGTTCCTGGAAGTCTGTCACGACAGTCAGGAATCAATTCTGACAGTGACATTGATGCGGCATGTCCAAGGTCTATTTATCTTGTTTGTCATTTCCGTTGGCTTGATTGACCCTGATCCCTTATTAATCCTGTCATATCCTGTTGTCAGAGTAGATCAAAACAGTCATGGTGGAATATCAACTGCCTTGAGGTTTGCAGCTCTAAGTTCATCTACAGCTTATTAAAGGAACAGATGCGCCATTTTCAGAGATTGATTTGAGTGTTGAATATATGTAAATAATCTTCAGAAGTACTAGAAATGTACGAAAATCTCATAATTCCTTTAAAAATATCTCAAACTAGGAATTTTACTCACTATTTCTATAGATATCTTTTCTATATATGACAGTGTCTCAAGAAAAGACGAGTCGTCATTTTAACTTTCAAACGTGGATAATTCTGGACACACATGGATTTGAAGGCTCAAATTTCGACAGTGAGCTGTGAACACTATTACTGATTGGCTTAGCTAAAAAATTCCTGTTTCTGAGACTAAGGTACGATTGGTCAAAAAAGGGTGCATCTGTCCCTTTAAGTAATTATAATGCCAATGGCTGGTAAACTATAAGTTAAAGGTCACTGTTGATGAAATGATATTAATATACATTGTTTATGATGAAATAAACCTATCAGCTATATCGTTAGTCATCATTAAAGGGATTGTAAAAAGGTTTTTCTAAATTTTTTATGTGTATCAGGGACACTGATAGCTTCAATTTACACCATTCTAATTTTCAATCAGACGTCTGTGGTTCCTGCGAATTGGAATGATGCAAATGAATGATTTCGGTGTCCCTGATACACATAAAAAAAAAACAATCGCATTATTCCTTTAAAAATATCTCAAACTAGGAATTTTACTCACTATTTCTATAGATGTCTTTTCTATATATCACAGTGTCTCAAGAAAAGACGAGTCGTCATTTTAACTTTCAAACGTGAATAATTCTAGACACACATGGATTTGAAGGTTCAAATTTCGACAGTGAGCTGTGAACACTATTACTGACTAGCTTAGCTAACAAATTCCTATTTCTGAGACTAAGGTACGATTGGGAAAAAAAATGGCGCATCTGTCCCTTTAAAATTCTGGAGGGCTGTTATCACCAAAGACATCATATTATTGATAATTTCCATCCCTATCATGGTCGTGTCAGTCTGGTTATTCCCAGAGGTTTAAACTGTCTAAAGATAATTCCTGGAGGTCGGTGCCAGCTAGTTCTGAATCTCAGGAATTTAATAGAAGTCAAAACCAGGTTCATGGACAGTCTGCTACCAGAGATCTTCATGATAAACAGCGATGATGACTTGGTAGAATTTCCCTCATTGCACACTGCTTAGCATTATGTCCAGACCACATACCCATTCGTCATACTTCTTTGAGACCATGGTAATACAAGTGACAAAAATTGTATATTCATAGCTAAACATTGTCCAATCAAAATTGGCCCTACTGTCTTGCTAGTAAAATTTCAGCCAATCAAAACAAATCACTTGTTATGACACTTTGTTTGCGAACGTAAACACAATGAAAGCTGCGTGCCATTATATATTTTGATGATTATGTACGGTACAGAATTGAGTAAGATTTTCGTTAAAGAATTGAAGCTGAGAGAAAATCAAACCTTACTTTGGAATATTTACTTGGCAAGAATGTGTTCTTATCTCTTCAAACAATAAACTGAGGCTCTGTTTACTCCAGACTGTACAGTTGGAAATCAAAAAAGAGCAGGCTAATGCGGCTATCCTGGCAAAATTTCCCTCATTGCACCCTGCATGGCGTTGTCTGTCTTCATTAGCCCACATGGTGTAGAAAAGTAGGGCGTAAAACTCCATTCATTTCATTTCATTGCAGAACAGAAAATAAAACTCCATTTTGTATCCAAGAGAAAGAATTTGATAAATGTGATTTTAATAAATCTATTTGCCCATCCATTATGATTCTTTTGACTCATGAACTATCAGTTTCTGAATCTGGATACTCTCTAGAGAGCCTTGATCATTGATAATATTCATCATTGACTTAAAGAGACAGTTGCGCCATTTTCGGAGGGTTGATTTGAGTCTTGAATATATGTAAATAGTCTTCAGAAGTACTAGAAATGTACGAAAATTGTAGTTTATGAAAAGGAGACCAACGAAATTAAGTGAACCTTAAAACAACAATGACAACATTTGTGTCAGAATTATCCAGACTCTAAAATAAAAGTCAAAAATATTTAACGTAAATCTAAAATTTAAAAAGGGACAACACCATTTTTGTCAGAATTATCCAGGCTCTGAAATAAGAATCAAAAATATTCAATGTAAATCCAAATTTGAAATTAAAACGACACAATTTGTGTCAGAATTATCCAGGCTCTGAAAAAAGAATCAAAAATATTAAACGTTAATTACAAATTTGAAAAAAACGACACCATTTGTGTCAGGATTATCCAGGCTCTAAAATAAAAGCCAATAATATTTAACGTTAATTGCTCGGCTGTGAAATGGACAAATATTGACGTGAAATGGGAAACGGGAGAAGATGAAATGGAATTAAGATAAATCATAAAGTCAATAATAAAATATCTCTGAAAGTCGTCGCTGACGTCACTGACTGACATCACAGCCGTCATTCATTTCACGGGAACATGTCCAATATCAATATTCACCATGACCTCACTGATTAAATGGACATTTATATCTTCTACATTACTGGTACCAAGTTCCTGCCAATCTTAAAGCCACTTCTTACAAAAAATTCAAATCGGTGAATTGTTTGTTTTTGTTTTTTTGAAGTTTTTTCGTTTTGCGATTTTGCAAGGGGCTGACATGGAAAAAGCGTCTAGTCGTTCGGATGGGACAATAAACTGAGGCCCCGTGTGCTACAGGCTGTGCACGTTAAGGATCCCTTGACAGTTGGAAATCGAAAAAGAGCAGGTTAATGCCTCTGTCCTGGCAAAATTTCCCACATTGCACACTGCATGGCGTTGCCTGTCTTCATTAGGCCATAAGGTGTAGAAAAGTAGGATGTAAAACTCCATTCATTTCATAACAAAAAATGGAGGAATTTGCACTTTAAAAATCATGATAGTTAAAAAGAGTAGGCCAATGCAGCTGTCCAGACAAATTTCCCTCATTGCGCACTGCAAATGAAAATCAGACCTCATGGGGGTATTTGTTTTTAAGTTTGTTGTATGTACACTTGAAAGAAACTTGACATATTTTCAGTTAAAATTAATAGGCTAATTCAGCTGTCCAGGCAAAATTTCCCTCATTACACACTGCAACTGAAAATCAGACATCTCAGGACTTTAATCACTTTATGATTCATATTCGGCTGAACTTTCCGTCTGCTCCAGCCTCACTATGGTTATCAGCGTCAAATTTAATACCATACCAATAGCTATTGATTCTAGAGACTCCAGTTTTAATGAAATGTAGCAGAAGCCACCATGGAAGATTGTTATAAATGGGATTGATTTAAAGGTGGAGTCCTTTATAGATTGTTAGAAATGGGATTGATTTAAAGATGGAGTCCCTTATAGATTGTTAGAAATGGGATTGATTTAAAGATGGAGTCTCTTATAAATTGTTAGAAATGGGATTGATTTAAAGATGGAGTCTCTTATAAATTGTTAGAAATGGGATTGATTTAAAGATGGAGTCCCTTATAAATTGTTAAAAATGGGATTGATTTAAAGGGGGATTCCCCTATAAATTATTAGAAATGGAATTGATTTAAAGGGAAACACTCTTTCATTCATTCATTCATTCAGCAAATTTCTATTTTCTATGTGGGAGGTCATCAATCTGTTTCAGTCGTCACAATTTCTATCTGGTACCTCCCCTTTAAAAGCATCATTGCTAATCACCATGCAGGTTTAAAACTCTGTAAAGTAAACAGCTTTATGTTCAATGTTCAAACCTAATGGCCTATAAGATTAAAGTTCAAGTAATGAGCTGGCTTAATGGAGCTTGTCTTCCTGCTGGGGTGGTAAAAACAACAGCTTCTCATCTCAGTTATTGTCTTATACCTTGACTACATTAGCCACCTTTCATGTATCACGGAAAGAAGTATTTTGATTGGATTGTACACAAGTGTATACAGCCAATCTGAGGCCTTGAAAGAAAAAGTGTGAACATTATGACCCATTGTTTAATGACTTTCTGTCAAGGCCTCTGATTGGCTGTATTTACTTGGATTTGATTGGATACGCTGCCAAATACAGATTTATACAAAGATTGCTTACTATTGGCGTTCATTTCAACCAATCACAGCATGTCATGCAGAATCCATGTCTTAATATTGACTAAGAATTGTGGGATAGAGAAACCCAAAGTAGAGAAATATAACCAATGAGATAATGAGACTACCAATACTCGCTTGTAAAAGTGATTCTGATTGGTGGAAGAGTAGCTTGTTAGTGTCTTCTATAAATAGCTTGAAACATCACCAGAACACAACCTTGATATAAATCTCGTTAGATTACAATGGAGAGCGACAAAAAGGGAAAAAATAATGAAACGAAATTGTAATCTAATTTTAAATAAATCAGCACTTGTAAAAGTGATTCTGATTGGTAGGAGAGTAACTCTTAAGTGTCTGCTATGAATAGCTATAAATGTCACCAGAACACGACCTTGGTAGAAATCTCGTTAGATTACAAAGGTCACAGAAAAAAAAATATTACGAAATGAAATTGTAATTGAATTTTAAAATAAATCTGCACATAAGCCTGCTTTAAATTTCCAATTAAAAGCGAAAATTGAAAAAATAATTTTGTAAAAATAAAACAATGGTAGAAAGGAATTCGATTATTTTTTTGGGAAATGATTCCTGATAATCTTTGGCATGAAAAAAACAAATTTGATTAAATGAATGTTTCGTTCAAATGTTAAATGTCTTGTCTCAGAGTTCCAGGAATGATTCCAAACTTGAAAAAAGTTGAATTGAATTGGCGATGAAATGTATTTTTTACATCTTGATATGTTGTTGAGCCCTACATTGAGAACATGATTTTAAATGAATTAATTATTGAGAACATTACAGAGAGCATGGATGAAAAATATGTATCTGTCATCATCAATTCAGTTTTGAGAACATTAATCAACATAGAACATAATTTTTGAGAACATTAATCATATTTCTTATTTTAACTTCATTTTTGAGAACATGATTTTAAATCAATTAATTATTGAGAACATTACAGAGAGCATGGATGAAAAATATGTATCTGTCATCTGAAATTCATTTTTGAGAGACCTATTTGAGAACATAGAACACAATTTTTGAGAGCATAGATGAAAAAACGTATCTATGATATTAAATTCATTTTGGAGACACCTTTTTGAGAACATAGAACATAGTTTTTGAGAACATCAATCACATTTCTGAACATAACCAAAGCTTTGCATTTTTTTCCTTATATTTGAGAACATCGATTCATTCACTCATTCAAACCAGGTTCATTTCAAGAACACTTTTTTGAGAACATTTTTTTGAGAACACTTTTTTGAGAACATTTTTTTTTGATATTTGAAAACAATTTAAATGACTTTTTTGAGAACAGAATTCCAAATTCAATTAATGATTCCTGATATTTGAGACCAAATTTGAAAAAACCTAATGCAATGATGCGGAGTTGCAGGAATAATTATTATGTATCAGCGCCAAAGATAGCGTGCCGGCAGAAATTGAAGGAAGCAGAATTCATCACCGATGACAACCCTATGGTCTAATCTACATCCTTAATGTTGGAGTGTTATCGAACCAACTTTTTTTTTTTAACTCATTAAAATCCTCTCAAGTTAGTAATGAGCTTTCAATGATATTTAGTTTAAAGTTGTGTTTCTCCAGAAATCTCTAATTCAGAAATATAACCTTAAGACACACAGAAGCACTGGCAGTGGCAGAAAGTTAAAATGAACTCATTTAATTTTTATTTAGTAATGACCTTTAAATGATATTTAGTTTCAAGTTGTGTTGCCCAAAAAATCTATAATTTTAGAAATATTATCTCATGATTCACAGAAGCACTGGCAGTGGCGCAAAGTTTAAAACAAGTTGTGTTCCCCTTTCTTCTTACAGGTGACGCTGTGTACAGTGGGGTATGGTGATATTGTACCTACAACTTGGGCAGGGAAACTTATAGCCTCCTTCTCAGCTATATTAGGCATTTCATTCTTCGCTCTTCCAGCGGTGAGTCAAATTTGGTTGCTCTTTAATTACAAGGGAAATAACTCTGATAGTCTTTAGCCTCAATGACAATGAGCTTTCTTATGCAAAAGAGGTTTTAAGAACATTTTTTTTTCGTGCACATTTTCTTATTTGAACACAGATGATACCTTTGAAGCAGTAACCATGGCAACAGAATTTTTATACCGAATTATCACTTATACAACAGTGTTTTGAGGGGTTTATATAAATTTGTTGCGTCCTTTCTGATTTTGAAAGGGTTCTTCTAAATAAGGGGATTCTAACCCGAGGCATCAAAATGCCAGAGAAGTGCAAATTTTTCTTCGAAAATAATTTTTTTTCTATTCCAATTTTTAGGGTATCCTCGGCTCAGGTTTTGCTTTAAAAGTACAACAACAACAGCGTCAAAAACATTTAAACAGACGGCGAATTCCGGCGGCCATGTTGATTCAGAGTCTATGGCGTTGCTATGCTGCTGATGAACATTCCATGTCAGTTGCTACGTGGAAGATTCATTTGGTTCCACTTCCGAGTCCATCAGCGTAAGTAGAATTATGGGTAATTTAGACTCTAGCCTTGATCTTGTATTCCAAGAAAACGTACGTTCTGCCCAGTGAGATGCAGAAACATAGGATGTAAAACTCCAATTTTATTTCATATTCTTTTCATTGACAGGGAACGAGAAAGACCATGGAAAAATCAACAGTCATTTGTCAGCAGATTTTCCACCAGGCGGCGAGACCGGTCGTCCAATAATAACTCCTTCACCAATCGTGACCATGCCACGACGAACATCCATTCTCCCATGATTCCACGGCAAAACAGCGGCAGACGTGTCACAACTTCCTCTATGGGGGGTCCCGACGAAGAGGTACCGGATGCCTTGCATAGGTGAGATTTCATTTTGAAAGTGGAATTAAAACTGTCATGGAAGGAATTTTAATGAAAAGAGTCTAATCATTCAAGTCTACTTCCCCTTGACAATATTGTGAAATATGTAGTTTGGGTTATCAAGACGTTATGAGTCTCAAAATCTCTCCAATTGAAAACTGTGACTTTTTCCACTTAAGAATCAAAGTATGTAGTCTTTGTTATCAAGACCCTAAAACAGTTGCCATGACTACAATTTGTCTTAAATTTTTCTTCTTCTTTAAACGTCGAGAATGTTGATGGGACATTTCCTGAATGCCCTATGATCATCCCCGTTGCTAGGAGAGAACGGCTGATTGGGGGTCATAATTGTGGCTAGGTGGGGCGGGCGTCAAAATCCTCTTTCAAAACATTCAACTGGTTCTGATCACCTAGAAATCCGAAGGAGCAAAACCAGAAGCGAACCATCTGGGGTCATACCGCATAAAATTTGTCAAATCTAGGACTCATTTTTGATGATTCCGGCCCAGTATTCTCGAAAAGATCTTAGCGCTAGGACATCCTAGGGTCTTAGCTTTTAACACTGTTTTAGGATGTCCTAGCTCTAAGATCGTTTCGAGAGGAAAGCTCAAATCCCCATCAGAACGAACTACAAAGTAATTAACGAAAGCGCGTTTTGAGCTAGGTCAATTGTTGGGGCTGAATTTTCATCCCCCCTACCCCCAGACGCCATAGGCCCCACCCTGAAGTGAAGACGGGGATGCCCATAATAACAATGTGAATCGACAGGCCAAGAGATAGCGCTTGCTTGCTCTAACTGCGCGCTTCTGCTGTTAATAAATTTTCTGTTAATTTCCTTCTAAAAGCCGAACTAGGACTCGGAGGTCATTATGTTTGTTTTCATTCGCTTTTATTCGCTTTTTTCATATTTCAAAATTATGGATCAATGGGGCATGCGTGTATATTTTTTAAGCATGATTTTTTTTTACAATTGATTTAAAGGGACCAATTTGTCTAATTATTTACTTCACCAGTTGATAGAAATTAATCTCAGCTGCCTGTACCACTTTTTAGATTGAAATTCGGACTTCTGGTTCTCCTGCAATAAGATAAAAACGAAATTCTTTACAATATATTTGATTGTAGACAAACAGTGTTTTCATTCTGAGAAGTGACACAGGTAGCTGAAATTAATTTCTATCGGCTGATCAAGGAAAGAATTAGCAGAGTCTGTCCCTTTACATGAAAAAAAATTTAGTTTTACTAACATAAATTCTCCCTGAAACAAAGTTTCCCGCTTTTTTTGGTAGCGGCCATCTTGAAAAATGGGCATGTGGTGTACTTTAACCCTGATGGCTCATTTGTTGTCCCCCCCCCCATCCACTCATGATGAATTCTTTTGTAGAAATGTACATCTTTGTGCCCCCTCCCAAAACGCCTGCTAAGTCCAATGAAAATTAGACCAAATTTCGTTTCGTTTTTTGTATTAGCTTTAATTTTCAATATAGCCACTTCAGGTAGGGTCTAACAACAGCCCTCTTGAATGTTCATCAAATTAACCTTTTGACCTAAACTGAAAACACAGCGTTACAAAACGCCAGTGCTGGAGAGGGTACAAATTTGATTGGTTAAACAGATGACATTGAGTTAGGTCAAAAGGTTAATTTAATGAACATTCAAGACGGCTGCCGTTAGACCCTAACTGAAGTGGCTACATTAGAAATAAAAGCTAATAAAAACGGAACGAAAGTTTGGTTGATTCTTAATTAGACTGAATGCCTGCCAATTCTTAAAACCCCTATTGATGCACCTTATACCAAATGTGCCTGACGTACCGAAATGTGCCTGATGTACCGAAATGTGCCTGATGTACCGGCCTCATATGCCCCTACTAATATTTTTGTTGTACCTTTTTTTATTTGAACCCCTTGCTAACCTTTACCTGCTTGTTAATGTACAGTCTTGTTAACCGCACATGGTAAGTTTACATAATCAATATATATCCTAAATGTTGTCATGTTCCCTGTGCTCTTTTTTGTTAGTGACCCCATGTTCCCTGTGCTCCTTTTGGTAAGTGACCCCAACCCCATATCCCCTGTGCTCTTTTTGGTAAGTGACTTTCTTGGTTAGTAACCCTATGTTCCCTGTGCTTTTTTTCGGTTAGTGACCCTATGTTCCCTGTGCTCCTTTTGGCTAGTGACCCTATGTTCCCTGTGCTCATTTTGGCTAGTGACCCCATGTTTGACTAGTGACCCTATGTTCCATGTGCTCTTTTTGGTTAGTGACATATGTTCCCTGTGGTCTTTTGGTTAGTGACTTTTTTGGTTAGCGACCCTATGTTCCCTGTACTCTTTTTGGTAAGTGACCCCATGTTCCCTGTGCTCTTTTTGGTAAGTGACCCCATGTTCCCTGTGCTCTCTTTGGTAAGTGACCCCATGTTCCCTGTGCTCTTTTTGGTTAGTGACCCCATGTTCCCTGTGCTCTATGTTCCCTGTGGTCTTTTGGTTCCCTGTGGTCTTTTGGTTAGTGACCTATGTTCCCTGTGGTCTTTTGGTTAGTGACTTTTTTGGTTAGTGACCCTATGTTCTCTGTGCTCTTTTTGGTTAGTGACCCCATGTTCCCTATGGTCTTTTGGTTCCCTGTGGTCTTTAGGTTAGTGACCCCATGTTCTCTGGGCTCTTTTGGTTAGTGACCTTATGATCCCTGTGCTATTTTTGGTTAGTGACCTATGATCCCTGTGCTATTTTTGGTTAGTGACCTCTGATCCCTGTGCTATTTTTGGTTAGTGACCTATGATCCCTGTGCTATTTTTGGTTAGTGACCCTATGTTCCCTGTGCTCTTTAGGTTGATGATCAGCTTAAACTTGGGCTTATGTGCCACTGCTAACCAATTAAGCTTTCCATATGAGCACTCCATGTATGAGCACCCCATGAATGAGCACTCCATGTATGAGCACTCACCCAATGTATGATCTTGATCACTCCCATGTATGAGCACCTTTGTACAGCCCCTGGTTCTTTGTGTGTGTACAAAATATTCAGTTATCATTTACATCCATGATCCATGATCTGACAAGATTCCTCATAGATTGTGTTCTGTGGAATTTAATGTTAACCAATCAAAAACACTGTTAAAATACAATGTTTAACAATGAATATCTCTCATAAGTTTGAATGAACAGAGCATTTGATTAGTTGAATATTTAACAATTGAGAACATGAGATGTCTAACAATTTTGTTAGATCATGGATGACTAGTAGAGTCACCCACAGAAAAAAATGAAATGGATCAGCAGATTTTCGTTTTAAACAACATTGTTTTATGCCAGCTAACTCTATCATTTGTTAAAGGAAAATGGTCATCTAAAAAATTTTTGGACATAACTTATTTTAAGCTACCTTTGACACTTTTCAAAATTGACATCTGGCATCTGGTTAGACTCAATCTAATTAAAATCAAATTACCATTTTGTTTTGCTATTATTTTTTGTCTGTTCCCATTGTAATCTAACAAGATTTATGATAAGGTTGTGTACTGTTGACATTTTCATTTCAACCAATCACAGCGCATCATGCAGAATCTTAATATCAGCTATGAATTGTGGGAAACCCAAATTAGAGTGATATGTCCAATGAGATTGTAAAAGTGATTCTGATTGGCTGGAGAGTGGCGTGTGATTGTCTACTATAAATAGCTTGAAACATCACTAGAACACTACCTTGGTAGAAATCTCGTTAGATCACAATGGAGACCGAAAGAAAAATAATAACGAAACAAAATTGTTATCTAATTTTTATAAGATTGGAGCTCTACCAGCTAGTGATTAATATCAAAACTAATATTTAGATGACCAAAACCCTTTAAAGTTTTGATTTAAAGGAATCTTTCCCCCTAATTTTATGTTTTTTGTGTTGTTACTAGGGATATAGTAAAGTAAGACTTTTTTTTAGTTTTTTTTCTTTTTCTATTTTTTTTCATCTTGCACATACCCTTTCAATGTTTGCATGTAAAACAACTTGTATGATTCACCACCATCTTACAAAGGTGATATGAGTCTTCTACATTCAGCCCTTGATCACACAAGCTGATATTGTCTTCAATATAAAATAATGAACTTCTTTTGTGCAACTTATCAAAATTAGACCAAACTTTCGGTTCCATTTTTTTAATTAACTTTTATTTTTAATATAGCCACTTCAGTTAGGGTCTAATGACAGCCCTCTTGAAAGATCATTAAATTAACCTTTTGACCTTACCTGATAAACACTGCTTCACACCAGCGCTGGAAAGGGTAGAAATTTGATTGGTCTGTTTTTATCAGGTTAAGGTCAAGAGGTTAATTCACAAGAGGGCTGTCTTTAGACCCTAACTGAAGTGGCTATATTAAAAATAAAAGCTAATAAAAAAACGGAACAAAAGTTTGATCTTATTTTAATTAGACTGGATAAAATGAATCCAATTGGTCAAGAACAAAATCTTCAACCAATCAAATTTGGTAACAGCAATATGGGCTGAATGATCAAAGGCTACATGAAAAACCTTTAATGAACATATTTTTTCAATTTTCTTGAATTTCTTATAATGTATTTAATGTTTTCAAAGATCTACTTTCTTGCCTGAATTTTTAACTTTTCATTTTTAATTCCAAACTCGAAATCAATTTTTATTTTGATTCCAATCTCTGATTAAAGGGATTGTAAAAAGGTTTTCTAAATTTTTTATGTGTATCAGGGACACTGATAGCATCAATTTACACCATTCCAATTTTCAATCAGGCGTCTGTGGTTCCTGCAATTCCACTTAAACTAAGTGTTTGATGACGTCACTATACAGTTCTGCATTTGAAGAATTACAGGAACCACAGACATCTGATTGAAAATTGGAATTGTACAAATGGATGCTATCAGTTTCCCTGATACACATACAAAGTTTTGAAAACCTCTTTACAATCTCTTTTTGCGGAAACCCTGTGTGCTACAGGCTGTGCATGTTAAAGATCTCTCGAAATTTCCCTCATTGCACACTTCCACTTTATCAGAAATACATCTTCAATAATGAGCTTAAAAGAGTATCACACAATCGGAAATACACCAAACATGGGACTTTCCCTCATTGCCCACAGTCTGCTTCCTGTCCAAGTCCAACAGGGAGCAGAAAAATAAGGATGTAAAACTCCAATTTGTTTCATTTAATGCTTCAGGAGTCATCTAAGCCTTGCAACAGGTCTGTCAGACCAGAAACCACAGGAGAGTATACCCGTCAAGAAAGAGAACTCTGTTTCCTCCATTTGTAGAGAGTTCGATCAAGGTACGTGTTCTTTCTGTCAGCTGTTTGGGTTCGGTTAGAGGCGTGTCATTGATTGAAACTTAGAAAGGAGGCGTGTCTTTTTTGCTTTTTGGGGGAGGAGACAGGATTTATCTGTTTAAAAGAAGGAGGAGCATGTCTAGAACTTTGGAAAGAAAGGTAGCGTGTTACTGCACGTCTTCAAAGCCTCCTTCTCCAGTCCTAGTAACTCAAAACTAATCAAATTTTACATCATTAAAATCAGAATTCATTAAGCTATTTAATGATACTTTCAGATGAAGTTTTCCGTCACGTATTTCTGAGAAAGGGCAGATTTAATCCCATTTTCTCACTGTTGACCGAATGTCTAATGACGTCAAATTGGCTATTCATTCATATGTCATCATCATCTTATCAATGGACGACGTAATTTCTGTTATGTACCTCGCTTTCAGTGTCTCAAAAAGGAGGCGTAAATAAGATCCAGATCCATTTAAAAGTAAACGCACTCGCTGATCAGGAGCCATGAATATTCCTTCTTCATTCCAGATGAACCAGAAGTAGCAGCAAGAGTGACCAATTTGACAGAAACCCATAAAAAAGCCATCAGGTCCTTAAGAAAAATCAAGTATTTTGTGGCGCGTAGGAAATTTCGGGAGGCGTTGAGACCGTATGATGTAAAGGATGTGATAGAACAATACTCCGCGGGGCATATTGATATGCTTGCTCGAGTCAAAAACTTGCAGGGAAGGTAAGCGCTTGATGCTTATGGAGATTCCAAAGAGGTTTTCCAAATTTATTATGTGTATCAGGGACACTGATAGCATCAATTTACACCATTGCACTTTTCAATCAGACGTCTGTGGTTCATGCAATTCCATTAAAACTAAGTGTTTGATGACGTCACTAATTACGGAGGGACTTATGTGATACAAGCCTATTTTGCGGTTAGTGACTTCACCAAACACTTATAAACTTAAAGACATTTTTTTTCAGCAATTTTGTAAAATTTTCAGCTTCTTTTCTGCGTTTTTTCAGTTTTTTTTTTTTTATCACAAACAGAAAGCAAAATTATTATTTCTTTTTTTTGTTGTTTTTTTGTATTTTTTAGGTTGGATCAGATTTTAGGTAAAGCCGGAAGTAAGAATAAAGATGTGTATGATTCCAAACAAAGTCTAGCTTCCAGGGTGGTTAAAGTTGAAAGACAGGTAAGAATTTCCCTCATTGCACACTGCATGACATTGTAGCCAAATCAAAAGCAGAACAGTAGAATGTTAACCACATTGGGTTATTTTTTGGCTATGTTATGTTGTATTGCCCTTTGATAGATTATAACCACTGTTATAAAAAATTTTCCTCATTGTGCACTGCATGATGTTTTTAGCCAAATCAGCAGTAATGTTGGATTAAAATTTCTTTCTTCAGGTTGATGATATCGAATCCAAAGTTGACATCCTGATTGACATGTACAAAGAAGACAGGAAACTCTTACTTCAGCATTTACAAACACATTACAGTGTCAATAACACACCAAGTCCCACCCCTTCCACTGCCCACTCTTCCACTCAGCCTAAGCCCCGCCCTAAACCTATCTTAGTGGACAAACAATTCACCAGTGAGCCAGCCACTCCCACTGGAGCCACTCATCCAGTCAGACCTATGCAACGAAACTTGTCAGACTTGAGTCAGCGAATCAAAAAGCGGGTGACTTATCGTTGTTTGTCCTTAAACGACTCTCTAAAATTGAAGAGCGATAATAACCGAAAAGTGTCTGTGACTGTAATAAGAGGCAATCGAGACAAGGAGACGATCCACGTTCCCACGACAAACTTATCAACCTCCGTGTCTGAAAACTCTATTTTGAAACGAGACTCCTCCTCCTCCCCGCCAGACGTCAGCTCGGGAAAAAGTGACGATGTATTCGTGTTCGAGGATTCGGGAAATTCAACGATACCCGAAAAACCAAATCCAACTTTTACAATTCAGTGTGAAACTGGAGACGGTAAAAGTTGATTCGGCAGAAGCACGTGCCATTTTTTTTCACTCCCATAAAATCATTTGCAAAATTTCTCCATTGAGTGTCCTAAACTTTCCAAAGAATATGCTATTATTCACTTTGTTCTGTGATAGATGCACGTGCATTTCATGTGCGAGGATATGGTTATGAGATTTTGATATATATATATAGGGCATAGTTATATGTGTTTGTATGAAATATTGTTATTAGATTGTTTATTAACATAGTGCAGGATTATTTAAAGGATTTCCTTCCAGGAATTTACAATCGTGATGTGTGTAATTAATATAGGGCTATTTTAGGTTTTAGAGGTGAAAGCTGACACCAGGCCGACTCTCGAAAGCACAGGCACAGGCATCAGAATTTTTCTTACCTTGAAGAGGATTTGAAGCCACAGCACCTTATCGCTATATAATGAGCAATTTTAGGGATGGATGTGGCAAATCGTGATAATTAGGCACAAATCGGTTGAAGCCAGTTATCGGGAAATCGTGATCAATGCTTTAAAAAAAATTGTGATCTATTCCGGATTATTGAATTTGACAATCAAGAATGTTGAGGAAACTTAAGAAATTCGTGATAAATGCACTATTTATTTTAAGGGTTTAGTCGTGATGAATGTGAGGGAAATCGTGATCAATGCATGAAGAAAACTGTGATCTATTCCAGTTTCTCAAAATGATTTCTTGAATTTGACAATGGGATCAAGCAATGTTGAGGAAACTTAAGAAATTTGTGATAAATGCACTATTTATTTTAAGGATTTAGTTGTGATGAATGGGATGGGAAATCGTGATCAATGCATGAAGAAAATTGTGATCAATGTGGAATTTGAATTTGTGATGTATAAGGATAAAAAACGTGAGAAATTTGTGATAAATGCACAGTTTATTTCAAGGGTTATCATTTGGAAGTCGTGATGTGTGAACAAATTTAAGCCAATTTAAGGGAAATCGTGATCAATGCATGAAGAAATTTGTAATCTGTGCAGGATTAGATTTCAGGAATTTGACAATTGGTGATCGTGATTGAATCAAAATGTGATTGTATGTGAAGCCAATTATTGAAAATGTATAAATTCGTGATAAATGAATGGTTTATTTAAAGGACTTCTTCCTTGTAATTGACAATTGTGATATTTGCCAAGCAGTTAAAGTGAAATTGTGATCAGTGCATGGTTAATTTCAAGGATTGGTTCGTGGTTAATTTGTTCTTAAACTGTCAACGATTGTGTCTACCAGCTGGTCCTTAGATTCTCAAGGATTGTGTCTACCAGCTGATCTTTAGATTCTCAAGGATTGTGTCTACCAGCTGGTCCTTAGATTCTCAAGGATTGTGTCTACCAACTGGTCCTTAAATTCTCAAGGATTGTGTCTACCAGCTGGTCCTTAAATTCTCAAGGATTGTGTCTACCAGCTGGTCCTTAAATTCTCAAGGATTGTGTCTACCAGCTGGTCCTTAGATTCTCAAGGATTGTGTCTACCAGCTGGTCCTTAGATTCTCAAGGATTGTGTCTACCAGCTGGTCCTTAAATTCTCAAGGATTGTGTCTACCAGCTGGTCCTTAGATTCTCAAGGATTGTGTCTACCAGCTGGTCCTTAGATTCTCAAGGATTGTGTCTACCAGCTGGTCCTTAAATTCTCAAGTATTGTGTCTACCAGCTGGTCCTTAAATTCTCAAGGATTGTGTCTACCAGCTGGTCTTTAGATTCTCAAGGATTGTGTCTACCAGCTGGTCTTTAAATTCTCAAGTATTGTGTTTACCAGCTGGTCCTTAGATTCTCAAGGATTGTGTCTACCAGCTGATCTTTAAATTCTCAAGGTTTGCGTGCAGATGCCAAAGGGCATTGTATGGTCAGAATCTGGTTATGGTGGAGATGTAACAAGTAGCATGTCTGGTAAAAGTGTACAATGTGGCGAAAATGTGCAATATTGGATAATGTGCAATTTTTAAAAAAAGTGGTGTTTTGTTGAATTTTAACAATTGTTGTGAATTTCAGAATGTGGAAAGTAATTATGTTGTTGAAAGATACGGAAAAAGCCTACAAAAAAGGAAAAAGTGTGCAATGGGGAAAAATGTGCATTATTGGATTATTTATTGTTGAAATTCAGTTTCAATATACTATAGTTATATTCTGGAAGGATACGGGTTGAATTTCTAGTTATAAATAGAATGCTGGGATATCAGATGCTGCAAAGGACGAAGGAGCAAAAAAGGCAAAGTGTTTGCGACTTTGATACAGAAAATCAGGATATGTGCATAGATTTTTGCATGGTTGTCAAAATATGGCATAGGTTTTGGGTAAGTATTAGAACTATTAAATTGATCCGAAACAAGTCATTTGTTCAGAATTTAAAAAGGATATTTCAACAATTCATTAAACAAAAACCTGTAGTTTTGTGTCCAATGGGAAAATAGTGATAGTTCTAAAACTAGCCCAAGCACTAACTTGCTTACTCTTTTCGAAACACCTGATGGTACTTTTCTTTAGAGGAGTCCACTACTATACAACTTTTTCTCATGATTTTACCATACTTTGGACGAGATTTTGATCAATGGAATTGTCTTGCTTGTACGGATTTTTATTGTAACGTTAGGTGGTGAAAATTAAAAATTTATCTGGCACATCTCCTTTAAAAGCTCTTCTCATTTAGAGGAAGGAAAATATTACATCTATATAGCCTTGATGTTATTGATCTTAGTTATTATTACCATTTTGATTTCCTGGTCGTTCAAGATAATATTAAGTCTTGATCTTCATGACATATATAACTATATATTACTCTTTATGACATAGTTTGAAACCCAATTGGTCATAAATTCACCAGCCAGAACCATAAAACCATTTTGTCTGGTGGTATGTGATGGAACCGTCAGACACTTTCAGCCAATTTTTGTTCAGTTTATACATAAAATAATACAGAAGTGTAAACTCTTTTCGGAATAAAAATCTGACTCTCAGTTCTTCTACAATTCAACAAAAAATGTACCACACCATTTTGACTAGGATACCAGATTTCAATATCCAATTTCAATTTTCAAACAAAGTGGAAAACTGCAGCTGAACCATGCAGATGTCGGATTTTAATTCTTAAAAAGAGCTTAAAAAAAAATGGCTTAAATCGAGCTTAGCTTAAAAAGAATGGCTTAAATCGAGCTTAGCTTAAAAAGAATAGCTTCATTCAAAGTTAAAAAAGAATAGCTTGAATCGACCATAGCTTAAATCGAGCTTAAAAAGAATAGCTTAAATCGACCATAGCTTAAATCGAGCTTAAAAAGAATAGCTTTAATTGAGCTTAAAAAGAATAGCTTAAATCCAGCTTACTAAGCTAGTAAAGACACTTTCCCTTCAAACAATCTAAGAGTGCACATATTTCACATTTTCTCTTGAAATTTCCATCATTGAACACTGTATGGCATTGAGCATTAGGTCTATCAGGAGCAGACAAATACAACATGGAATTCCAGTTAACCTTATTACATTTTTATATTTTCAGATTTTATGGAAGAAAAGTTGAGGGCTTGAAAATGTAGACCCAATTTGTGTAGATTTTGCCCTCCAAAAAAGACCTGATAACGAAGGGTGTGCATTATAGACACTTACAAAAAAATTTGGAATTTTTCTACCAAAGGTTCCCATATCATCACTGATTTTGTAATTGATTTCAAAAATCCAAAGTTCCAAAGATTCTCCATGACTCTGTAATCTCCAGGGGTTATGTTTTTAAATTAGGCAAGGCGCAGACCTGTGTGATCTAATACTCCATTGCATTTTGCTTTCAAAAAAATGAACTGTAAAATATTTTTAAGTTTAATTTTGCAAAAATTACAAAGAGATTATTTTACAAAAGGACTTGTACATTGTAATGATTTACAAAAAGACTTGTACATTGTAATGATTAACAAAAGGACTTGTTAATTGTAATGATTTACAAAAGGACTTGTACATTGTAATGATTTACAAAAAGATGTGTACATTGTAATGATTTACAAAAAGACTTGTAAGTAGTAATGATTTACAAGGAACTGTAAATTGTAATTAAATTGTAATGATTTACAAAAAGTCTTGTAAATTGTAATGATTTACAAGGAACTGTAAATTGTAATGAAATTGTAATGATTTACAAAAAGTCTTGTAAATTGTAATGATTTACAAGGAACCGTAAATTGTAATTATTTACAAAAAGACGTGTATATTATCATCATTTACAAAGAACTGTACATTGTCGTGATTTACAAAAAGACTTGTACATTATCATCATTTACTGTGAACAATGTCATTATTTACAAATTCATGATTAAAAAAGAACTGTACATGATCATGATTTACGAAGAATAGTATAGAATCATGATTTACAAAGGACTGTACATTGTCGTGATTTACAAAAAAGAATTGTACATTATCATGATTTACAAAAAAGAATTGTACATTATCATGATCTACAAAACAGAATTGTACATTATCATGATCTACAAAACAGAATTGTACATTGTCATGATCTACAAAACAGAATTGTACATTATCATGATCTACAAAACAGAATTGTACATTGTCATGATTTACAAAAAGAATTGTACATTATAAAGATTTACAAATAAAAAATGTACAAAATCATGAAAAATTGAAAATTGTAACTGTGAGTACCTGTTTATTTATTTATTTATTTATTTATTTGTTTGTTTATTTATTTGTTTGTTTTTGTTTTTATTGTAAATAATTGTTCTTGTTGGATTTCTCTGTTTTCCCTTTTTATAATGAATAAACCTGTTACAAATTTTTCCGTTCTCCCTTGGGATAGCTGGCCTGTAGGGATGGGATAGTTGGACTGAGGGGTGGGGCTAAAGGTTAATGGGTTCTTTAATGTGTCCCATGTACCGTGGGGGTGTTGCGTTTCCTTACCCCAGGTAGCTACGGGCTGGCGAACCTAATAACGTTGCAAAACGGAGAAAAAATAGTTGGAATTAAGGCAAGGCGTCGTCCGTCTAATGAAACGAGATGCAAAGCTGTTGAACTGACAGATATCCCCTGCACACTGCAAGGCGTCGACCGTCTTCACATGCCTAAAGGGGGGGGGGGACGTAAAATTTCAGTTCATTTAAAGTCTATCACAGTTTTTCTGGGCGAGTTATATTCAAGGTTGCGAAAGATTTTCACTGGTCCAAGGGAAGTAACACCATTTTATTGTCCTTAAAGTTAACTGTGGTTTGTAGCCAAAATATTCTCGTAAACGGGCTCTATCATTTGAAGGGAGCTAACTCTTTTATGATAACTTCAAAATCAGACCACACTTGAATTAATCAATTCTTGCGCTTACTGTGTCTTTTAGAATGAATTGAATGGAGTTTTACGTCCTACTTTTCTGCACCATGTGAGCTAATGAAGACGGGCAATGCCATGCAGTGTGTGATGAGGAAAAGTTTGCGAGTACAGTAACATTAGCCTACTCTTTTTCGATTTCCAACTGTCGAGGGATCTTTAACGTGCACAGCCTGTAGCACACAGGGCCTCGGTTTATTGTCCCATCCGATATAGCGCCTTTTAAAGAGATTCAAATTTTTACAAATAATTCAAAGGGGGTTTTCCGCTTAGAAAGGAATCCCATTGCGTTTCATTGTTTGTGTGTGTGCAAAGAAACGAGTAACTTGGTTGCCGGTTATTCATTAATTTATTGAGAAAAGGAAGTTGTTCTGTCATTCCTCGAGGTCGTTTACTTTATTTCATTCATTCATTCATTCATCCTTTTATTCATTCATTCATTCTTTGAGGCATTCATTCATTCATTCATACATTCAGGTATCATTCCATTCATCCATTCGTGCACTTATTCACTCCTTAAATCATTTATTCATTCCTTCGTTCATTCGTTCATTCGCTCATTCATTCAAGTAGTAGCCTATACCTCTAGAATTGATCCATTCATTCATTCATTCATTCGTCATTCATTCATTTATTCATTCATTCATTCATTCATTCATTCATTCAATCTTTCCTTCATTCATTCATTCAAGTAGTAGCATGTACTTCTAGGATTTATCCATTCGTTCATTCATTCATTCATTCATTCATTCATTCATTCATTCATTCATTCATTCCTTCCTTCCTTCCTTCCTTCCTTCCTTCCTTCCTTCATTCATTCATTCATTCATTCAAGTAGTAGAATATACCTCTCCTCTAGGATTTATCATTCATTCATTCATTCATTCATTCGTTACTAAGGTAACCTTTAAAAATATCAAATTACCTGTAAACCGGAAGCAGGTGTTCGCGCATGACATTTAATTGAACAATATGTCGGCTAGGTATGAAGGTACACATTGAACTCAAATTTCGCTATTTTTGAATTTTCGTTGACAATTTCTTGGAGATTTTGGGATTTAGTTTTGGAAACCATATTTCCTTGGAATTGGGACACAGTTCAGCTACTTCGAGGCACGATTCCACGCAGAATTTGGCAACGACACACCTGTGGAAAAATATAAACAAAACTTTCCATTGTTTTGAATTTGAGTGCATTAACTTTTTTGGAGAAATTCTCTCAAATTTTAACATTTTCTGTATGAAATGCTGCAATCTTTTCTGAGTTTTCTGTGAATTTGGAAAAGCCAAAATGGCTCGGGGTTCATTTAGTGCTGCCATATTGTTTATCACTGCAAATGTCGTCTGCTATGAATTTTGCGCTGCCAACACTGCATTTTACGCTGACAACGGCTTACAGCAGACTGTCATCGTCAACAAAATGAAGGGACGCCAACGGAAGGGTGTTCAACAAGAAATTTTAACCCTCTTGGGTCTGCATCACCGGCCAAAACCGAAGGATCACCATGGTGAGGAGGACTCGGCGCCAAAGTTCATGATAGACTTGTACAAGACATTGGAAGAGGAAGAAACGCTTCCCATGGAAGAAAATGATGAAAAATTTCATAACCATTTGAAAAGTAAATTGAACGATAGTCTCGGTCTGGATTTGACCAAAGTAGATGGCTCAGATGTGATTATGAGTTTTGTGAATCACGGTAAGTAGACTTTAGTCTTTAGAGTGTCCACAATAAAATAAGATAGTAGAATTGTCTTTAGACTTGATCAAATGTGATATTTTCATGGAGACAACCTACAGGTTTTACGTCCTACTTTTCTGCATCATATGGGCTATTGAAGACCGACAACACCATGCAGTGTACAATGAGGTCAATTTTACCAGGACAGCGGCTTTAGCCTGCTCTTTTTCCATTTCCAACTGTAGAGGGATCTGTAACATGCACAGTCTGTAGCACACAGGGCCTCGGTTTATTGTCTCATCCGAACGACTAGACACTTTTTCCGTGTCAGACCCTCTTACCTGCATCACTGACAGGGGAAACCAGGTTGAAAAATCTGAAGGTATTATTAGCCTGCTCTTTTTCGATTTCCAACTGTAGAGGGATCTTTAACGTGCACAGTCTGTAGCACACAGGGCCTCGGTTTATTGTCTCATCCAAACGGCTAGACACTTTTTCCATGTCAGCCCCTCTTACCTACATCACTGACAGGGGGAAACCGGGTTGAAAAATCTGAAGGTATTATCTCGACCTATGCCGGGATTGAACCGTGGACCTTCAGGTTAGTGAGCAAGTGTCTAGCTCACCGAGCCACCACGGCTCCCTATGTTTCTTGTTGTTGACGAGAAATGTCTTAAAAGGAACATCTGTTGTGTTCACTGAAGTGAAAACTTACGTCATTATAGTTGAATTTGTTGACAAACAGGTTGAATAAAATTTTAAGTTTAAAGGAACAGTTTGAATTCTTTAAAGAGATTGTAAAGAGGTTTTCTAAATTTTTTTATGTGCATCAATTTGCACCATTCCAATTTTCAATCAGACGTCTAGGTTCCTGCAATTCCACTAAAACTAAGTGTTTGATGACGTCACTAAACGCTTATGTGATAAAGCATATTTTGCAATTAGTGACGTCATCAAACACTTAGTTTTAGTGGAATTGCAGGAACCACAGACATCTGATTGAAAATTAGAATGGTGTAAATTGATGCTATCATTGTCCCTGATACACATAAAAAATTTAGAAAACCTCTTTACAATCCTTTTAACACCATTATTTTTGTTTGCAGCTAGTAAAGTGTCCTATCTCCGGCATGAAAAAGACAAGACATTCTTCTTTGACTTCAGCGAAGTCTCCCCGGAGGAAGGTGTGACCGGTGCAGAGCTACGCCTACATAAAGACTCAGTGACCAATGATGGAACTGGACAGATGACCATTGAAGTATTTATGATACAACAAGGAGTCGATATTGAGTAAGTAACATTTTGATCAATCTTTTAAGGATAACAACTTAGGTTCTCAAGGATCCTGTCTACCAGCTGGTCCTTACCAAACCTCTTGGTATCCATCTTGGTTTGAGGATTAGCCTAACTTTGCCTTAATTTGAGCCTTCAAATCCATGTGTGTCCAGAATGATCAACACTTGACAATTAAACAACATTGTCATTTCTTGAGACACTGTGATATATAGAAAAGACATCTACAGAAATAGAAAGAGAAATTCCTAGTTTGAGATCTTTTTAAAGGAATTATGTGATTTTCATACATTTCTAGTACTTCTGAAGACTATTTACATATATTCAAGACCAAAATCAACCTCCAAAAAATGGCGAAACTGTCCCTTTAATGCCCTTATAAGAAAATTTCCCTCATTGCACAATGTAAGATTTTGTTCCATTTCAGAGATAAGACATTGAATTCTGAAGTGAATGTAACCATTGCTAATAGTTTTACTGGTTGGTTTGGTTTAAATGTAACCAGAGCTGCTGAAAGGTGGACCAACTTCCCAGAGTCTAACCTAGGTCTCTACATGAAGATTTGGGATCAAAATGGTAAAGTTTTATTAACCCCTTGCCAGTGGGGGTGGGGGGAGGGGGGTCATTCACTACCCCAGAAAAATGGTTTGTACCCCAATTGCACCCCACATCAATTTCGAACAATCTTTTCAAAAATGTCGTTTTTATACTTTCTTGCCCAAAAAAATGTGTCAGAATTCACCAAAATCAATACATTTTTCAAAAACGCCTTTCAGGCGCTCCATGAGAGACTTGTGCCTCTGCGATTCCAAAGACCTACCGCACCGAAAATAATTAACTACCTTTAGTACCACATTATGTTTGACAATGACTTGAAGTAAAACTCTTTTATTATCAGGAAAAAGTGTGGAACCAAAACATGTTGGCATGGTAACCAGAAAAGGTCCAACAGACAAACAACCTTTCATGGTGGGGTACTTCAGTATGGCACACAACATTCACTCCAGAAGAACACGCTCAACCCGAAGTTACCAAACGGTTTCAGACACCAGCGACAATGAAATGGCGTATGCTTATTCCGATGAACCCTATAACCCTTACAGTAATTGTATGTACACAAATTTTTTTGTCCTCTGCTAAGCACCTGGGTCAACTCATTGATTCATTTTTTGAACTTCTCTTAGGACAGTACAGTTCTTTTGCAATAGTGATGTCCTATGCTGGTCATATTTTGTGATTAGTGACGTCTTCAAACACTTAGTTTTAGTGGAATTGCAGGAACCACAGACGTCTGATTGAAAATTGGAATGGTGTAAATTGATGCTATCAGTGTCCCTGATACACATGAACAATTTAGAAAACCACTTCACAATCCCTTTAATACTTGCCTCCCACAGTACCCCTTTAACCAAGATATTATTTTCATTTTCAGCATATTTAAGATTTAAAAATCTGCCTTGTAAGAGACATTCACTCTACGTTAGTTTTCGAGATCTAGGATGGCAGGTGAGTGCTTCAGAATATTCTCATCTCTCCTGTTCAAAGAGTGACTTTAAAGGGATAGAACTTATGTGATAAAGCATATTTTGAATTAGTGATGTCATCAAACACTTAGTTTTAGTGGAATTGCAGGAACCACAGACGTCTGATTGAAAATTGAAATTGTGTAAATTGATGATATCAGTGTCCCTGATACACATACAAAGAAAACAACTCGACCCTTTTGAGAAAAAGAGAGTTCTGATTTTAATGATACTTATGTTTTTTTTCAGGATTGGATTATTGCCCCTGATGGTTACTCAGCCTTCTATTGCCATGGCGAATGTTCCTTTCCCTTGGCAGCCAACATGAACGCCACGAACCATGCCATTGTGCAGACTCTGGTACATCTGATGGATCCAGTCCTAGTCCCCAAACCCTGCTGTGCCCCAACTAAACTCAACGCCATCTCAGTTCTGTACTTTGATGCCAATTCCAATGTAGTTCTGAAGAAATACAAGAGCATGATAGTCAAGTCTTGTGGCTGCCATTAATGTCATGATGGCATCGCAGGCTAAGTGCGGTACCTATAAGCTTCATAGATAGTGCTGGAATACTGTTGGTGCCTTATGTTTAAAGAAGTCTCTGCATCCAAAAAATGTTTTTGTATCAAAAGCCAAAGACTTCTATTTACAAATTTGTTCTTTTTTATTTTCTAATATTTTAATCCATTGTAATCTAACATGTTTTCTACCACAGTCTTGTTCCAATGATGTTATTTTTAAACAATCAAAGCATGTCATGTAGAACCCGTTTCCTGATATCGATGATGAAGTGTGGGATAGTGAAACTTATAGTGAACAATATGACAGCCTCTTTGGCTCTTCTATCCCACTATTCATTATTGTACAAGAAACAGCTTCTACATGACTGGTTTGATTGGTTTATAATAACATCGAAAGAACAAGACTGGGGAAGAAATCCTGTTAGATTACAAATGAGATGAAAAATATTAGTAAATAAAAAAGAACGTACTTGTGATTTAATTTTAGATCTTGCTTTTACTAGCTAAGCATTCCAGTATATGAAAAAAATGGACGACAAAGTTCATAGGGATCAAATAAAATAAGCTTTAAAAAAGTTATAGTCTTAAAAATATTTCTTTCCAAGCCGATAGAGCTCAATTTCAGCTCTCTGTATCACTTTTCAAATTGAAATTCTGATGCCTGGTTCATATACAAATTCGAAAAGCGTTATCATATTCACTGTTACATGTATTGCCCTTTGTAATAACGCAAAAGCAACTGAAATTGAGCTCTGTCAGCTGGTAAATTAGATATTTATATAACTACACAGATAGCTGAAATTGAGCTCTATCAGCTGGTAAAGTAAATAATTAGATGATTATACAGATAGCTGAAATTGAGCTCTATCAGCTGGTAAAGTAAATAATTAGATGATTATACAGATAGCTGAAATGCAGCTCTATCAGCTGGTAAAGTAAATATTTAGATGACTATACAGACAGCTGGAATGGAGCTCTATCAGCTGGTAAAGTAAATAATTAGATGATTATACAGATAGCTGAAATGGAGCTCTATCAGCTGGTAAAGTAAATATTTAGATGATTATACAGATAGCTGAAATTGAGCTCTATCAGCTGGTAAAGTAAATATTTAGATGACTATACAGATAACTGGAATGGAGCTCTATCAGCTGGTAAAGTAAATAATTAGATGATTATACAGATAGCTGAAATGGAGCTCTATCAGCTGGTAAAGTAAATATTTAGATGACTATACAGACAGCTGGAATGGAGCTCTATCAGCTGGTAAAGTAAATAATTAGATGATTATACAGATAGCTGAAATGGAGCTCTATCAGCTGGTAAAGTAAATATTTAGATGATTATACAGATAGCTGAAATTGAGTTCTATCAGCTGGTAAAGTAAATATTTAGATGACTATACAGATAGCTGAAATGGAGCTCTATCAGCTGGTAAAGTAAATAATTAGATGATTATACAGATAGCTGAAATTGAGCTCTATCAGCTGGTAAAGTAAATAATTAGATGATTATACAGATAGCTGAAATTGAGCTCTATCAGCTGGTAAAGTAAATATTAAGATGACTATACAGATAGCTGAAATTGAGCTCTATCAGCTGGTAAAGTAAATATTTAGACGACTATACAGATAGCTGAAATTGAGCTCTATCAGCTGGTAAAGTAAATATTTAGACAACTATAAAGATAGCTGAAATTGAGCTCTATCAGCTGGTATAGTAAATATCTAGACAACTATACAGATAGCTGAAATTGAGCTCTATCAGATGGTATAGTAAATATTTAGAAGACTATACAGATAGCTGAAATGGAGTTCTATCAGCTGGTAAAGTAAATATTTAGATGACTATACAGATAGCTGAAATGGAGTTCTATCAGCTGGTAAAATAAATATTTAGATGACTATACAGACAGCTGAAATTGAGCTCTATCAGCTGGTAAAATAACTATTTAGATGACTATACAGATAGCTGAAATTGAGCTCTATCAGCTGGTAAAATCATATTTTGATGTATAAACCTTTAAGATTTCTACAGGATGGTTGTGTTCATTATTTTGTATTTATGTATATTTTTGTATTTGTATATTTCCTAGCAAAATACAATTAGTGCAATTAGAATATATATATATGTACTCACGGGCTTGAATCAAAACAAACAAAAATAAATGGCAAATGAGCAAAGAATCAAAAAAGAAAAATTTAATTTGAATTTTTTTTTAGAACTTAAGAAATTAAAAAATTTTGAATCACATTTTGAATTTTTTTTTAGAGAATTTGAAATAATTTTATGTATTTTTCTGTAATTTTGAATCTCAAAAAATTGGCATTATTCATTTTTTTAGTAAATTCTGAAATGGAATTTCGTTTTTTTGAAGTGTTTCTTCAAATATTTTTGGGGGTTTTCACGAAATTTGAAAGTTAAAGAATATGAAAGCAAATAATCAAAATGAAAATATGAACTGGAATTTCATGTATTAAATTGGAATTTTCTAAATGAGCAAAAAATCAAAAATGAAAATTAAATTGTAAATGAAAAAAAAAAAAAAAAACTAGACAATGTAAAAAAATTACAATTTTTTTTTCATATAAATTGCAAATATATATTGTTTTTATTTTATTATATTATTTAGATTTTTATATTAAAAAATTCATTTAATGGAGTAAACTCCCATTTTTGAGCCCTGGTTTTTCAAAAATGCCTACCCCTATTTCCCATGCATATTATAAAGAAAGTATTTAAAACAGAGGCCTCTGGGTGCTACAGGTTGTGTTTGTTAAAGATCTCTCCACAGTTGGAAATAAATAAATGAGAAGGTTTATCTCGCTGTCCGGGCAAAATTTCCCTCATTGCACACTGCATGGTACAACCTTGTGCCTCTCTGGATTCGACACATGTTTTGAGTCCACATGTCTAAAGAAACTTAGTTGACAAACCTAATCACACAATCTGTTAGGTGTTCTGATAGACCAAGCAATGGTTCCCAGGCCATACTGCAAGTAAAATGATATAAAGTTGGGAAGCCCAATCACACATTACCATTAGGTGTTCGATATACTGAGCAAGCCCGCCGCAATAAAAATGATATAAAGTTGAGAAGCGCAATCACAGAGTATCATAAGGTGTTCCGCAGTGGCTCAACTACCATACGAACTGGTTGAACCTAGACCACGGACCGCCAGCCCTAAGGGGGCTCCACCCTAGAAATATCATTAACTACAGAATGAAAGTCTTTAAATCTTCCATTACGGGCATTAAATTGACTTACAGAGGGGTCTCAGAATGCAGGTGATCATACATTAAAAAAAATTCCCGGGGGGTGAAGGGGGTGGGGAGGCCCTAACCCACTTAAGTCCATTGGTCATCATCTAGTTTAACAACAGGTGTTTCGATGGACGAAGCACGGCGATAATAAAAATCTGAATCAAATGTTATCATTAATATTATTGGGGCTAGGCTTTTTATCACTCGCTATCTACACGTATCTTGACAATGGATGGAGCTCACATGACATCAGTGTAAGTAGGCCTAATGGACGAACAACACAAAAACAACAAACAGGTAAATAAAACCGTTTGTTTACATGTAAACACATTTGTTTACTGTTGTTGTTGACGTGATATTAACAGCATCGGGCTAGAATTATCCATGATATAGATCTATGCGGTGGATATTCTTATAAATTCATATGAATTCATGCAAATTAATAATCCATATTTATATTGACGTGAATGAGATACGGTTCGTTCGTTAACATTACTAATTAAAAATTATAGATTTTGTTTACAATCCTCTTGAACTGAAACTTACTTTGTTTACATTATTTGGATGGATTTGTTGACATTTCGAATTATACTTAGTTATGTTTACATTACTTGTGACAGGATAGATTGTTTACATTACTTGTGACAGGATAGATTGTTTACATTTCTTGTGACAAGATCGATTGTTTACATTTCTTGTGTCAAGATATTGTTTACATTTCTTGTGACCAGATAGATTGTTTACATTTCTCGTGACAGGATAGATTGTTTACATTTCTGTTACAGGATAGATTGTTTACATTTCTTGTGACCAGATAGATTGTTTACATGCCTTGTGACAAGATAGATCGTTTACATTGCTTGTGACGTCTGTGGTTACTGCAATTCCACTGAAACTAAGTGTTTGATGACATCAAGATATGCTTGTATAAGTGATGTCTTAGTTTTAGTGGAGTTGCAGGAACCACGGGCGTCTGATTGAAAATTGGAATGGTGCAAATTGATGCTATCAGTGTCCCTGATACACATAAATTTTTTAGAAAACCTCTTTACTGTCACTTTAAAGACTCTTTAAGTTTTTGTCTTTAAAGGAAGAACCTCCACAGTTCAGCTCCAAGTTAGGCCTGGTCTGCTCCTGTTTAGGATGTGTCGTGGGTACCGGAAACATCTGGAGATTCCCTAGGATTGTAGCCAACAATAGTGGCGTGGCTGGTAAGTAAAATGAACTTATCCGAGCATGTTACGCTAGTAATACCATTGCAGTGAGTACCAGGTCCAGCTGGTAGCCAGGGTCACCAAAAAACCCAACCTTGAAATATCTATGACAAGAGGTTTGGTCAAGGGCCAACTGGTAGAAAGGATCCTCGAGAAATTAAGCTATTACCTTATGAAATTAATGCCAAGAGGTTTGGTCAAGGACCAGCTGGTAGAAAGGATCCTCGAGAAATTCAGCTGTTACCTTGCAATATCAATGCCAAGAGGTTTGGTCAAGGACCAGCTGGTAGGAAGGATCCCCGAGAACCCAAGTTTTTATCATTGGAAGATGAATATCAAGAGGTTTGTCAAAAGACCAGGTGATAGAAGCCTCGGGAACCTAAGTTGTGATTAATACCAAGAGGTTTGGTCAAGGACCAGCTGATAGACAAGATCCTTGTGAACCTAACTATCAGCCTTGTAAATTCAATGCCAAGTTGTTATCCTTATCCCATCAACGCCAGGTTGTAATCCGTATCCCATCAATGCCAAGTGATAAATGCCAATAGGTTTAGTCAACGCTTCATCGCTTCACTATCTCTTTCCGTTTTGTTATTACAGGTGGGCTTGCATTCTTGTTGGTATGGTTCCTCTTCTTGTTGATTTGGTCCATACCGATGTTGCTGATCGAGTACGGAAGCGGTCGGTATACAGGAGTAGCCGTAGTCGGATCATTTAAGCATTTCATTGGTCGCAAGGCAGCTTGGTGTGGTGCCTGGATTTCTATGGTCACGTTCTTCATAGCGTAAGTTCATTGTAAAATGTAGGTATGTTTCAACCATCGCTTTGCATATGAGAGGATTTTCCCCGACCTGCTACTTTTCCTGGGCCTCCATACCCTAGAGATTGTCTACCGGGCTGTGACTCTATGCTGTTCTTGTTGCAGATCCTACTATGCCGTGGTTCTTGGTTGGTGTTTTTACTATGCTGTGTATTGTATGGCCAATGAACTTCCAGAGAACGCTGTGGACAGTCGAAAGATCTTTAAGGATTATGCGGAGGTGAGCATCGTCTTATCAAAGATTTTTGTTCTGGTGGTCTACAATTTGACTGAGGATGATAAGGGGTGGTCGGTCGGTGCCTAGGGAGCTATTCCATTGTCCTAGAAGATGACAATCCAACTCTCTACCAAACTCCGTATCCAATTGCCCTGGAAGATTACAGTCCAACTCGTTACAGTCCAACTGCCACTATGTTTTGTAGGATAGCGCCTGGCCAGTGCTCACTCATGGTATAGCAGTCTTGATAGCTGGGGCTTCTATTTTGGGCGGAGTGAAGACCATCGAGAAGGTCAACTTGATGCTGGTGCCGATACTGTTGCTGATTGTGGTGTTCACGTTCGTGTGGTCACTGACCAGAGAATACGCTTCTGAAGGATTGACATACTTATTTTCACCGGATTGGGGTGAGTTTTTGAACCTTGTTTATGTCGACATCGCGACCACTTATCATTAAAAAATGGTACAGTGGTTAACTTTATCCAAATAGCTTTGTATGAGACGATGAATTGAAACCACTTGGAAGCGACCCTTGTTCATACGCGAAGTGTTGCCCTTACTTATATATAATTTACGAGTTTCGTTCGTGTGTGCTCGCATTTACAAAACAAAATGTATGTAGAAGCGAGTTGATTGGTCGATTTGAAAATCACATGACATCATGGATCATCTACAAAAGTAAAACACGGGAGAAATATCCAGCATTTCAGTGCTTTGCTTGGTATTCATGATAATTGTGGCACTGTTTTGTCTTTTCCAGAGTCTTTAGGCAAACCTCGACTATGGGTGGATGCTTTAAGTCAGAATGCCTTTGATACGGGAGCTGGAGCCGGGCTGATGGTCCCCTATGCCTCTTACATGACCTGGAGAAATGGCATAGTGAAATATGGGACTCTCATTCCCTCCACGAATAATCTCATCAGGTAAGTCCTATTGTTCTTCACCTACTTCAAGGATGTTCCGGAACGTGTTCTGTCAAATGTTCCACTGTGTGTTCATGCACGAGTTCTGTCAAATGTTCCGGAACGTTTTCTGTCAAATGTTCTATTTTGTTCAGGAGCGTGTTCTGTCAAATGTTCCACTATGTGTTCATGAGCGTGTTCTGTCAAATGTTCCACTTTGTGTTTAGGAGAATGTTCTGTCAAATGTTCCACTTTGTGTTTAGGAGCGTGTTCTGTCAAATGTTCTATTATTTATTCATACGCATGTTCTGTCAAATGTTCCACTTCGTGTTCAGAAACGTGTTCTGTCAAATTTTCCACTTTGTGTTCTGGATCTAAAGGTTCCATCAAATTAGCGGCGTACATTCTGTCAAATTTGCCAATGTTCCGGAATATATTCAGGCAAGTGTCATCGTACTTGGGCTAGTCCTTGGCTATAATTGTTACTGTTAATGATTCGGATTAAAATTTCAGTTTGATTTCGGGTATGATGATCTTCTCAACAGTTTTCTCCAGTCTTATCCTAACTCGTCCTGAACTTAGCAAATCAGAGATCATTGATATCGTCAAAGACAGTGGCCCAGGCAGCACTGGACTGACATTTATATGGTACGTATAACCTCTATAACATCTTACCTTGAACGCCTATTGAAACTTGCATGGTGTTTTCAAGCACTTAGTTTTAGTCGAATTGCAGGAACCACAGACGTCTGATTGAAAATTGGAATGGTGCAAATTGATGCTATCAGTGTCCCTGATACACATTAAAATTTTATCATATTGCTCTATTGCAGGATACCAGTTTTATTCTCTTCTATTGGTGTATTTGGAAGAGTCATCTGCGTTCTGTTCTTCACGTGTTTGTCATTTGCTGGTGTCACATCCTTAATCGCCAACATCGAACTGGTGGCTCATACACTGTGTGACTTTGGTGGTAAGTCCATACCAGTTGGATTTTGTTCCATAGCTAATAATGTATATTAGGAATTAGTGTACCAAAATTCTAAAAAATGCACACTCCGTCTCCATTACAGTTCCTAGAAAAGTTGCTGCATCATTGACCACGTTGGTGATCTTTCTGGTTGGTCTTCTTTCCTCATTGAATATAGACATTCTTACCAATCAGGCAAGTTCCTTCTGTTTCCCATCCCAACACCTTTTTGCTACCATGCGACCCTCGGCAGGCTGATATACTGTGCCAAGCAGTCCATTGTATTCTCTACCAGCTGGTCCTTGGTCTTGGTAATGATCTTTCCCAGATTTTCTGTACCCATTTGTAGCTTGGTTGACTGGAATCATGAGGATTCTTTCTACCAGCTGATCCTTGACCAAACCTCTTGGTAATGATCTTTCCTGGATTATCTGTACCCATTTACAGCTGGGTTGACTGGAATCATGAGGATCATTTCTACCAGCTGGCCCTTGACCAAACCTCTTGGTATTGATCTTTCCTGGATTATCTGAACCCATTTCACCCCTGGCCCTTTTCCCTGTAGTAGAGCCACTGTTCATTTGAAGCACAACCTCCGTCATTCCATGTCCTTCCATTTTCAGGATTTTGTATGGGGGTTCGCCCTGGTAGTGAACGGGCTGATGCTACAGGCTATGGTGATCTTTTATGGAGTAAACAGATTTAGAGAGGAGGTCTTTAATGATTTTAGCTTGGACGACTGGCACCTACCACGATTATGGGGTTACATAGTGAAGTAAGTAACCCACGTGTCACTACAGTATATGCTATTGTTAAGCATCTTGGGTGTACCTTCACTTGGTGAAATCTTTCTTGGTGTGACTTCACAAACGCTCACAATGTGATATGTGACTTCACGAACATTGACCATGTGACTTCATTTATCTTGATTGTATGCCTTCGCGTATGTTTTCCATGTGACTTCCCGAAAGCAAAACAATTACCCATGCTTTTATGAATACTAACTATGTGACTTCACAAAACCTTTCGTGTGACTTCACCACCGGTGGTCTAATTTATACATGTCTCTGTTGAATATTTTTGGTGCTGAAATTCCTGTTTTTGGTTTTGTCTTTAGATTCCTGGCACCGCTTGAGGGTGTGGCCTTGATTATTTGGTGGGCTGTAGATTTAATATCCACAGAAACACAGCCAGGGGAATCATGGTATGAGTACGGTAGAGAAACTTTCATGACCACAATTACTCAGGTACGACTGCAGCAAGATTGTTCTTGAAAGGGATACGTGCGCTAGTTCAGGAAAATTTCCATCATTGCTCACCGTATGGCGTTACCGGTCTTCATTAGCCCAGTAGACATATTGACGTAAACCTTTCAACGCTGTCTTGAGTTGAAATTTCCCCCATTGAACAATGATCGGTGTTGATCGAATTACTGTAAATAATTCCATTTCATTTCATTTCATTTCCATTTCTATGGAATCTGAATTTGGAAAAATTGTAGGCAGAAAACGCTGTCTCCGAGTTGCAATTTCCACCATTGTACACTTCATGTTTCCTCAATTGTGTACTGCACCCCTTTGATTTTCATTTGGTTTCGTTATATTTTCAGTGGCTTGTTCTAATGTTGATTTTGATTCTAATTAATGTGGCTGTGGAACGATTTTGGTACCCACGGGATCGACCATCTTCGGATGAGTTCGAGCGTGTTTATGATCACAGCACCATGGACAATCTGTCCGATACGAAATCGGAATATGGCTCCGTGAACGAGAAACCGACAAAGCCGGTGATGGATCTGTATTTATGACGAACGTACATTATTAGTCGCAAGCGTCTGCAGTATGTCGGATGGTAATAAAAGCCAAATGACCGCGCAAACGCCCCAACCGGAAGTTGAAGTGTGGTAAACCGGAAATTGGTATTTTTACTTTACATTGATCATATTTTTTTTTTCCAATTCAATTATTTCAGTCTTTAATATGGAAATTTAGGTAAGATTCGTAAAAGACTTTCGCCCATGAATGAGTTCAATCCATACTTTTGGATCGACCATTTCCAACGCAAGCCAAAAAAACAAATAGCCCACTGTCGCCGACTTGATTGTTCGGAGGGACAAGTAATATATCCAGAGGGGTAATGGTGTTTGTTGTTTAATTGCAGTAAAAAAAATTGTTGTTGTCACAATTCTGTTAGGGGAGACAATCCATTTTTTCGGGGAGAGGGAGAGGAGAGCTCCCCACAGCTACGGGACTTCCCCGCGTCAGTCATTGACTCAGCTTCTCTACGTCATTCTGTACAGCGAACCCATTCCTATTGGCTGGTCGTTCGATCATATTATTTCGCATTGACAAACCATAAGAAATTGTTGTGGAATCTTTCGGATTACCAATTTCTCTGACGTCATTTGTCAATCATGTCCTAAATGCACGTGTTGACCTAGTTTCACTTTCCAGTACTGTGTGTATTCAGAGATCATGTTAATAACGCTATATTTTGTGTAAAAATGTGTCATTTGACTTTCAAATAAGTGAAATGTGTCATTTAAATGTGTTTTAAACTTTATGCCCGTCTGAGAGACATACTAATTATAATGCATGAGTTTGGATTTTCCCTCGGAATGATTCAAGGTGAGTAAACATTACGCTCGATTATTGTTTCTGGGCGTGTTCGAATCCATATTCTTTGGGACACTAGAACCTAAGGTGTGTTCGATTATGAACATCCTAGAACGTTTCTGAACATAACAAAGTACATGTATGTTCAAAACTCGTGAATTATGCTGTTACGTGCGTGCACGTCACTTCCGGCGAAATGAAGATGTGACAAGAACGACGTTCTTGCGTTCGATCGTACTGTTCGAACCGTTGTTCTTCATTTATTTGCTATTCCTAATTGCAAAGAACTTACATGCGAATGTAAACATAACAAGTTACATACACGTCAAGAAAGAAAATAATCCAAAAGATTGTAAAAAGTTTTTCTAAATTTGCTATGTGTATCAGGGACACTGAAAGCATCAATTTACACCATTCCAATTTTCAATCAGACGTCTGTGGTTCCTGCAATTCCACTAAAGGTAAGTGTTTGATAACATCACTAAAAGCGAAGGACCTTATGGGATAAAGGATATTTAGTGGAATTACAGGAACCATAGACGTCTGATTGAAAATTAGAATGGTGTAAATTGATGCTATCAGTGTCCCTGATACACATACAAAATTTAGGAAACTTCTTTACAATCCCTTTTAGTAAAAAGGTCAATTTAATCCAGATGAAAAGAGACTATACAATTACCAATAATAATGAATAAATAAACTTAAATAATGAAGCCATATATACAAATGTTAGTCTTTGTACACTGCACCATAATGTGCTAATAAAATATATCGTAATTCATTGACATCGATAAATTGTAATTCATGGACCAAATCAAATACAAATTTGTATAAACTTTCATCCATTGGACATATATAAAATTAACGTCTAAACGTATCTATATGCAAATATTAATTAATTATTTATTTTTAATAGAACGTATATAGACTAGAGTAATAAGTAATTTCTGATGCAGAAAATATATTCATTGATTGAAAGCGTAAAACGTTGAATTTTGAGATATATCACCAGAGGATATATTTTATTCGTGGAAACGTTAGGACAGAGAAATCAAATTTTGGACTATTCTAAACATTGCCTTCTTAAAAGGGATTGTAAAGAGGTTTTCTAAATATTTTATGTGTATCAGGGACACTGATAACATCAATTTACATCATTCTAATTTTCAATCAGACGTCTGTGGTTCCTGCAATTCTACTAAAACTAAGTGTTTGATGATGATAATGAAGACTGATCTGACAATATTTAAGGATGAAGAATACTAAACTCTGGTGTTGTTATGTGGTTATGTTATTTTTGATATATTCTATTATTTGGTATACCATACCATTTATCATGGAATCGACTGGTCGAAATCCTTTGACCAAAACGCCCGTCAAGCCACATGTAGCTGATGAAAATGAGCAGTCGGTGGTACCAAGCCAATGTGAACAGAATGTGGTGCCGGACCAAAGTGAACAGAATGTGGTGCCAACCCAAAATGAACAGAATGTGGTGCCAAACCAAATTGAACAGAAGGTAGTGCCAAACCAAAATGAACAGAATGTGGTGCTAACCCAAAATGAACAGAATGTGATGCCAACCCAAAATGAACAGAATGTGGTGCCAACCCAAAATGAACAGAATGTGGTGCTAACCCAAAATGAACAGAATGTGGTATCAACCCAAAATGAACAGAATGTGGTGCCAAACCAAAATGAACAGAATGTGGTACAAAACCAAAATGAACAGAATGTTGTACCAAACAAAAATGAACAGAATGTGGTGCCAAACCAAAATGAACAGATTGTGGTTCCAAACCAAAATGAACAGATTGTGGTTCCAAACCAAAATGAACAGAAGGTAGTGCCAAGCCAAAATAAACAGGATATGGTGCTAAACCAAAATGAACAGAATGTGGTGCCAAACCAAAATGAACAGAATGTCTTATCAAACCAAGATGAACAGAATGTGGTGCCAAGTCGAAATGAACAGAAGGTAGTGCCAAGCCAAAATGAACAGAATGTGGTACTAAACCAAAATGAACAGAATGTGGTACCGAACCAAAATGAACAGAATGTGGTACCGAACCAAAATGAACCGAACGTGGTACCGAACCACACGAAAATAAGGGAGAAATATTTGGTATATTTGTGCGATGAGAAGGGAGGATGTGGCGGCTGGGGTGACAGGCAAAGAGGGATAGTGTCTTTGTTTTTGTTGTCTTTGGTGTGGAAACGGACATTCAAAATTTTGATAACTTCTCCGTGTGATATCAAACCCTATTATAAACCTAACCAAAAATACAATTGGGCATTCACCAAGGATGAATTGAAAGGATTGAAAACCAAATCAAAGGCAACCTTTGATTTCATGTCGAATTGCACTGCATTGAGAACACTAAACATGAACGATTCCGAAATGGCTGAAGTGTTATACGTTAAAAGCAATTGTTTTTTCTATTCAAATATAGCAAACGAATTTGCTAAATTCTTACCTGAATATTTGAAAGACAAAAAACGTCAAGAAATATTTCGGGAATCGTGGAACAGATTAATGATGCCCAAAAGACGACTTTTAAATCAAGTTTTGAAAATACGATCCACGGGAAAAATAAATCGAGACGCTAAAAAATCCGGGAAAGAGTTAGTATGCGTACATGTGCGAATTGGTCGTAGTGAATATCTACCTGATGGATATTTCGGAATGCCCCTAACTGCCGTCTCCAAAGTGTGGGATTTCATCGACGCCAATTTTCATAGAAAATCCAGGATATTTGTGGCCACGGATGACCTTAACGTCAGAAAAAGTGCCATATCTAAATATAGCTCTAGGTATATCGGAAGTTACGCCTCTACCGCACACCCAGGAAAAATGCTATCAAATTTACCACTAGCTTGTAGGTCTCAAGAATCGGCTTTCGTAGATCAGTTGATGTTAACGACTTGTGATGTTCTGATTTTTTACAGACGTAGCGGTTTCAGTCTTCACGCATCGTATTTGAAAACGGAGTGGAGAGATATGTACGCCATCATGGACTACACCAAAAATAGTGTTTCTCTGAAGAAAGTCAATTATTAAAGGGACCATTCTTGAATATTTGTAAATGTATATGGCATAATCTCAAGAAAAGACGAGTCGTCATTTAAACTTTCTAACGTGGATAATTCTAGACACACATGGATTTGAAGACTCAAATTTTGACAGTGAGCTGCGAACACTATTGCTGATTGGCTGAGCTTCTGAGACTAAGGTACGATTGGTCAAACGGATGGCGAACGTGTTCCTTTAAAACTTTTTCCATAGTTGCCATTGTCTAAAAGTCGCTGCGGAACCCAAATGAACGTTATATACTGCAAAGGGTACAAAACAAAAACAATTAAGTAGAAAAGGTCAATTTAATCCAGATGAAAAGAGACTATACAATTACCAATAATAATGAATAAATAAACTTAAATAATGAAGCCATATATACAAATGTTAGTCTTTGTACACTGCACCATAATATGCTAATAAAATAAATTGTAATTCATTGATATTGACAAATTGTAATTCATGGTAAAATACAAATTTGTAAACTAATACAATTCCAAGGTCATGATCGAATACAAATTTGTAAAATAATACAATTCCATGGTCATGATCAAATACAAATTTGTAAAATAATACAATTCCATGGTCATGATCGAATACAAATTTGTAAAATAATTCAATTCCAAGGTCATGATCAAATACAAATTTGTAAAATAATACAATTCCATGGTCATGATCAAATACAAATTTGTAAAATAATTCAATTCCATGGGCATGATCAAATACAAATTTGTAAAATAATGCAATTCCAAGGTCATGATCAAATACAAATTTGTAAAATAATGCAATTCTAAGGTCATGATCAAATACAAATTTGTAAAATAATACAATTCCAAGGTCATGATCAAATACAAATTTGTAAAAATAGTTTTCGTTGTTAAAACATTTGAAAAAATAAGTAAAGAGGGGTAACAAAGTTCATTGGGGAAACAAAAGCTTAAAAAATTGGTGAAAAACGTTAAAAAAGATAACCTGTTGATCCAAATTTTTTCTAAATTGGAAAAAAAAATTAGCCAAATAATTAAAGGGATTGTAAAAAGGTTTTCTAAATTTTTGATATGTATCAGGGACACTGATAGCATCAATTTACACCATTCTAATTTTCAATCAGACGTCTGTGGTTCCTGCAATTCCACTAAAACTAAATGTTTGATGACGTCATTAATCGCGAAGGCCTTAAGTCATATGATTGGCTGATAAATGGTTTAGATCGACCAATCAAATGCCAATAAATCTAGAGTTAAACCAATCAGATGACTCTAATTATTTGAGCTGTGAGTATTCATAAAAGGGGCAAGTTTAAAGTTTACAATATACAAAAGTTAGAATTACAAAAATATACAAAAATACAAAACAAAATACAATACATAGACTATAGTCCGTATCAGAATACATAGCACAACCTTAAAGTGTTTGTCATAAATATAAAAAAGACTATAACAAGTAAATAACAATATAAAGGCTTTGCTGAAATAACATTTTTGAGCTTTAATATTGTGGTTTCGCATTTTTTGTTATACATTGCGGTTATAAGACACACCTAAAGCGATGCTTGAATATCATTTGGTGTGTTTTTGTCTATAATTCTACATTGCGGTAACTAGTTACACCCAAAATAGTGCATGGATAACAATTGGTGTAGTTTTCTGTCTATAATTCTACATTGCGGTAACTAGTCACACCCGAAATAGTGCACGAATAACAATTGGTGTGGTTTCTGTCGATGAGTTTGTATTGCGGTGATAAGTCACACCCTTACCGCGTTTCTTGGTGAAAATTCAGTAATAGTTGTTTCTGTTTATTTCTTTACTTTACAGTCTTAATACACACCCAAAAGTTTTTTTTCTGTGGTTTTTGTCCATTTTGATAAATCGTGTTTATTAGACACACCATCCTTTGCACTAGTTCCCGAACACATTTTTTGAGACACACCATAACGTACAAGGAATGTTGGCGAACGTTCGATTCTAATGTCATGAAGGTAGGACACACAGGGGACTTCAAGCAGTATATTTAGCTTAGTGGAACACGTTTCGAACACAACCTTTTGAATGGCACATACGTTTTTCCTTAAAGATCTCCTAAATGCATTTTGTCCGTCCGATAAGTCGGTCGCTGACGTTTACGTACACGACATCTCATCTGATTTGTCCAAGCAATCCGACACTCCGTCACACCATTGCGCGTTCGCTATACAAAACCCGCTCCGACACGCCCTAGTTCCGTTGTCACATCCAGGCAAGTTTTGTGCAGACGGAACAACTGCCGTGGACGTTGGAGTCTTTACAGTGGTTGCTTCTTGTGTCTTGGTCGTAGTGACTGAAATGAAACGGATAATGATTATCATATTTTATATATTGTTTGTGGACTCTACAAAATCTATGCCCATTGCTTTTCCATTACAGCAACTAAACACCATACTCCATTGCCCCTTCGGATAACTGACTTGCCCCTCCCTCCTCCGAAGTCGTGTAAATAGGACGTAAAACTCCATTCATTTCATTTTATTTCCGAAGTCTAGTAACTCACCTTGAGCTCTGTGACAGCTTCCGTGGATTAACCTGACGTCATCAATGGCTACGTCTGCTTGTGTCTGATTCCCGCGCTGTGCCACAAACAGAAGTGAGATGCTCGAAGATGGTGGTAACTCTAAGCATGTCTTTCGCCAAGCTTTCCTCGTCGTCGCTATCTCCACTAACATATCGTAGCTCTGTCCAAGATCTCGATCTTTTACAGTGAGCACTAGCGTTCCGGTTTCTTTGGCAAAGTCCGCAAACATGCTGTAGATGTGGTAGTAGAACTCCAGAGACTTCCCAGTCGAGTTGAAGCTTGTCGTCTCCAGTATGGTTTTGTCGGAATATCTCCCGTCAGATCCATCAGCATACAGATAATATCCTGTAAAATAGGAAATCATTTTAGCCCAATTCCAAAGAAAAAACAGATATGCTTATCCAAGCCCCAAGTCAGAAGCATAAGATCAATATGTACCCATCAAATCCAAGTGCTGATGATGGAAGTCGGCCTGACACAGCCAAATGAGAATCACCACTGTGTAACTAGATTTGGTTCCCCAGAGAGTTCATATACCAGATCCTTTGGATTAAAGGTCCTCGTCGGGGCAGCTGGTTCCAAAGTTCCAAACTTTGGACTCACTACTCTGACCAAAGAAAATGAACTCATCGAACAGGGGAGTTGAAGATTTAAATGATTCTCTCACCTGAACTGTTTTTATAGGAGTGGTCATTATTTGGTCCAGTGCCAGCCGTGTTGGTCCCTCCAGAGTTTCGTTTCCATCGATAATCTCCATCCTGCATCTTATAGCCACACAGGAACGGGTGCTCAAAATCACAAGGAACCGTCCGTAAAGGGTCTGCAATAGAAGCAAATGATCTTCAGTACTATGTACCACTTTAGTAGGTTATTGCACTGTTCGTTAAAGTGTATCAAATCTTATGATGTCATAGAGTGGTTAAGATCTTGAGAGTGTGATGGCCTTGAATAAGTCATCTTTCCTTATTATTCCAGTCGACCCAGTTGTAGATGGTTAAGGATAACTTCGGAGAGACCTTTGCCAAGAGGTTTGGTCAAGAGCCAGCTGGTAGAAAGAACCGAAGAACCGAAGAAGCACACCCATTAGATCATTTCTATCAAGTATGCGAATACAATGCGCACCACTTCTTAGCCTAGAGTATCGAACTTACCACACATTTCGCCCTCGTCAGCTCCATCAAGACAATCTTGGACTCGGTTACATGTCCTGTCGATTGAGATACACGGTCCGCCCGGACACTTGTATTCTTTATCCGTGCATTCTGGAATAGGAAGACACAAGGTTGTAGGTTTTATGGTATAAGGTAACCATAGCTCTTTACCAATAGTTACACACTGAGCATCATTAAAGATTCTGATGCGTCTTCAGTATGGGAAGATAATGTCTACGGACCCCCATTCATTTAGATGAACCTCTGATTGCCTGACTTGTTGGTGCAAGTGAAAAATACTTACGGCATTCAGCTTCGTCAGAACCACCAGCACAGTCCATCTTTCTGTTGCAGAATTTACCCAGTGGTAGACAGAAGTTCTCATTGGGACAGGATCGGTAACCTTCCTTGCACACTAAAATGAAAAAATATAGTTACAGTTGAGAGCGGCTTATCGGAAAAGGGGTAAATGCCGATGTGCTGAGGAAATTGAACGCTGCCAAGCATCATCTAAGCATCAATTTTATTCTAAGAGGTGGTATTCCTATTAAAAACAGCAATCCACTTACCAAAGTTCGGGCACAGTCCTTCGGTGATGTTCATATCGTCTATAGCAATAAACGGTCTGAAGGTTCCATCGAATGTTCCACCATACATGGTGTAGGTCAGTAACAGGTCCTGCTGTGCTGGAAGCTGGAGCTGTGTCTTGCTCCATATGGAGGTGAATCGATCCTTAATTTCCCAAAGAACTACCTTCTTCGTTTCATTGGGCTGCTCGTAGTGAATCTGAAATATGGAACTCAAAATAATCTTCATGACTTATCTTGGCTGTTTTTTTTAGAACTGGTTACGTTATTCCATGGTGCCCGCTATAGGATTGTTCTTCAGTATCCGCAACAAAAGCTAAATCAGAAACTAGAATAAAGACTGACCTTTAAGGATCCAGTTGTATCGGAGAAGTAATAGAAGCTCAGACAATGAGCGGTTCCTCCCAACCGAAGATGTTGAGTCATCACCACGTCTTTGGATTCCAGCAGATTCCTTGTTTCCATGATCAACATGTTGCCTGAAAGGAGAAGGAATTTCATGAAAGGATCTTATCTGGACATGCCGAAGATGAAGCTCAATGGGTTTTTTTCCTACATTCCGAAGTCCAATCTTAGTAGGTCCATCTGGATTTACATTGTCAATGATACTTGAAGAACTACAAGCAAAATCCAAAGTCGTAAGCGTTACAAATTACCTGGAAAACTTCTCTCATTGCACACTGCATGGCGTTTGTTTGTCCAATAAGTAGAGCGTAAAACTTTATTTCTGTATTTCAATTTGTGTATTTACCCTGATGCATCGGAGTTTTGGACAAGCTGAGAATGTAAACAGGTGCTTACCAAGTGGACTAGCCGTTGAATGGTCCTGGAATCTGTCGGGTGTCTTGGACGAATTGACCACCTTCCACTCCGCTATTTCATTGTCTGTTGTGGACTGATCCAAACCACACAGATGAGGATTCTCAAAATCACAGAAGAAAGAAGGATCTGAAAGAATCAAATGAATACTCAATGTAGCTTACTCCGTCAGTTTTTCCCCAATTGCACACTGATTTACGAAGCAGAATTGGGTGAGTGCCCACATTCCGGCTTACAAGACCGTAAAGTAATGGTGACCGACGACGACCAAAGGTGTCTTTAGTTACATACTTTAAATCCACCAAGACCACCTAAACACCAGATGTTACTTTTGCGCTGGGGCCTTGGCTTATCCGCCAGACCAGTCGAATGGAAAAGAGTCTTACCAGCACAGTCTTTTTCGTCCTCACCGGAGTCACAATCCACCACCATATTACATTGGGAGGCTTTGGGTATACATTGCTTCTCGGCACCACTTCCACATTGGAACTGGTCGTCAGAGCAGGCTGCAATTGAAGTGAAACAAACAATGTCATTACACGATATGCATTAGCGGTTCCACACTAGCCACATTGGACGGAGCAGACGTTAAAGCCCCAAGATGGCCCCGACTTTCGATATCAGCTGTCAGCCAAACCATTACGTGTTCAAAAGTCTGGAGTCTACTACACATGTACCCTCCTCTTTAAAAGCGGAACCTACCCTTCCTACCGCAAGCAAAAGCAAAACCCCCACCCCAGCATCCTTGTCCAAGTGCACCTGATCATTTGGTTAGTTACGACTCAGGCTAGCATAAGTATGGTTGAATCTCTTACCCGCACTAGCACAAGGTGAATCCAGTAACTGAACATCGTCCATAACAATTCGTCCATCGTGGTTACTGACGAACACAACTTCAAACTCCCCCTGTTTCATCTGGATGTTGCCCGTAAACCATTTGTCTGGAAGAGTCTGGAAAGAAAGAATGGGAATAAGATTGGTGATTCTGTGGCCTTCCATTCCATTTTTTTTGAAAACAGAAGCAAACAATTTCACCTGTGTCCAAGGATGATGATGCGACATCAGTTTATCCAAAAATATTCTGATTTTCGAAAGATCAACTATGCCGCACCATCTGCTTGTTACAGCTTCTATTTTAATGTCCGCAAAATAAGTTTTGAATAATACTCCAAAAGATCTCAATACATCTTCAGTATCGGCATCAGACGCAACTTACCTCATCTTTACGTTTGAAGATTGGTTCCCAGGTGCTGGACCCATCAGGCATGTACTTATTGAACCAGACTTGTATCCCTCCTCGGATTTCGCCTCTCATGTGGTAGTAAAACCTCAGACACTGGTTGGAAGTGGCATTGAATCTCGGGGTCTTCATCAATAAACCTCTCTTACGGGCCACCATAAAATAACCTATGGACGACGAAAAATATTCTAAATATTGATATAATCTGTAGCAAGATGGATTGTCGTCTTCTTGGCGACGAGGTGCCTTGGGTTCGAATCCTTATGCCATGGCCAGTGCTTCCGAAAGTCGGCCTGGTGTCTATCAATTAAGGCGGTCTATCAATGACAGCCCTGATCCTTTGTAGAATTGACTGGTTTATGGATAGTTTGATATGGTCGATTTTGCTTTACAAGATGGATCGGATTCACCAAAATGTCGCCTTACCAGGATACGAGCCCACAGTGTGATCATACAGAGCGTAGTGGTTGAAGTAATCGGTAGCTGAGAGTCGGTCCCACACAATACCATATCCACATAGGAAAGGGTCGTCGAATGTACAGCTGACTGATACAGCTGAAAGAATAATAGAATTGAATTGAAGGATTGAAAACAGTAGACGCATCAGCGTCTTCTCTGAAGGACTACACTTTGGAACAGGACTGTATATAATGAAAAATCGTTTCAGGATCGAAAACAGTAAACGCTTTGGCATCTCTTTTTAAAGGACTACACTCTGGCAGTTTGGGACATTTCAGATTTGCGGTGTTGCTTCATCCAAAATGACTTTGCTTGTGGTGGAAATTGAGTTGTATGTCAACTCCAGATTGATCCGATGATGATGAAAAGAAAGGACTGCAAGCAGCACACGAGGCCATGGTATATTCTTCCAACCGAAAGATTAGAGGCTTTTTCCATGTCAACTCCTCCATCCTACATCACTGAAAAGTGGAGGCTGTGCCAAACAATTTCAAATGATATAGACGAACACTTACAGCAAGGGCGAAGTTCATCGGAGTTATCTCCACAGTCGTTCTCTCTGTTACACAGTTGTTGTTTATCATAGATGCATATACCGTTATCACAGGTAAATATACACTCTGAAATATATTGGAATAGATGTAAATAGGATGGAATAGATGTAAATAGGATAGAATAGGATGGAATAGATGTAAATAGGATAAATCCGGAGAAGTAACCAACAGCTCTATTCCGAGACCTGAGAAAGCATGGCTTCTTGAGAGCAATTGATGTTTGGTCCTGAATGACATAGTAGACCAACAAACCTGTGGCGTTTCTGGTAGCTTCGTGGGTATACCAGTCTCTTAGCTTACCTGTATGGTTCTGGATCCACGGGGTGAAGAACTTGGCATCCGAGAAGACCACTGGCCGTTCTGGTACGTTGCATCCTTTAGCCACATAACTTGAGATTCCAACCAGCTTCCAGTGCCTATCATTGGCCTGACACACCAAAGATCCTCCACTATCACCCTGAAATACAGATAGATGATATGAGTTTTACGTCCCACCAAGTCTAGCAGTGTAAATGTTACTTGAATGCACCAGACTGAACATTGCAAGGCATTAGAGGTTTGCCCTGTTTAACTCTTGGCTGCAGGACGGTCAGATATTACTCGGAGGTCTTTGTACACTGTCCCTAAAATTGCCATTGCTTCGTCCAAAAAGTTTTAAACTACTTACGCTGCAGGTGGAGATGAATCCGGAGTAGTAACCGGCACAGAGGAAGGTGTCACCGACAGCACCGTTCCAAGCTATTGATGAGTTACATTTCTGGGTATCCCATAGCGTCATCTTGGCTTCTTGTAACCGGTTGGAAAAGGTTGCTGAAAATAGAATACATTGAGAAGATTCCCGATTTGTTGATGACGTTTTTGCAAAAGCTCCTATAGAGGAACTGGAACCAGTTGGAGAAGGCGATAGAAGCATCGAAGTTGCTGAGTTTGCTGAAGCGTCTAAGGATAGAGGACCTAGGCTTGGCCGGTCAATTGCCTCTACTCCAAATGCCAGCTGCTGATGATAACAAAGAACAACGTCCAAAGTCAATACTTACTGTCCCACGCTTTCATGCCCCATCCGACAGCGTAGCAGAGATCGCTTCTGGTAAAGACTTCGTCCTGCTCCGGTAGGCAAATTGGTCGTATGCAGTCGGTGTAGTTGACGGATCGATCTAGCTGTATGATCGCTATGTCGTTCTTCTCGTGGAAGATGTGATTATGGAGAACCAAGCGCTTTATCTTTCGTTTCATCTGCATATTCTCTTTGGCGGACAGCTTAGTCGCTCCCAAGACGATGTCGATGAAGTCGAAGTTGTATTGATACGACCTGCAATGAATCAAAACAATTGGAACGTCATTGTCGATGAAGTCGAAAAAAAATTGGATTGGTATTTCAAGTGCAGAACTGAGACAGTTTTATGTCGTGTGCTTTTATTTGGATTAATGAAGACGGGCGCTATGCAGTGCGCAACGAGGGAAATTTGATTAAAACCGAATTTGATTCCGATCTTCACTTTGCACAGCATTTGATTTGAACCCTTGGTTTATTGCCTCATCCGAGAAACTAGAGTTTTGAGATGGAACTGTATCACAAGGGGGAATCCGAAGCAAGAAAATCTACCTATGCAGCAAAGGAACGACAGACATCCAAGCATCAGAACCAGTTGACGCTTTTCGCATTAGATCGGCTGATCGCGGAAGGCTGATGATAAACATACTTACTCAATGCAATGAGCCGCAGTCACCACAAAATTTGGACTGATCAGCGATCCACCACAGTAATGTTTCCCGACACGCTGAAGCGACACCTGCCACGGCCAGCTGCATGGTGGTGAGTCATTTCCGTTGACGATGAAGTTACTCAACTGAGTGCTGCGTTTTCCGCATTGTCGTTCTTCACATTGGACTTTTACGGCTGTGTTATTTTCACAATACGACCTAAACGATATATACAAAAGAAAATAAGATGGGTATCGTACGAAACGGGGTTTTACGCCCTTTTTCGGAAAATTAATAGGGCTAATACAGATACGCAATGCAATTGCGCAGTGTGCAATTTTGGACATTCTATTATCTTATTACTTGTGGATTTCCTCAGTTGACTAGTGATCACAGGAGTAAAAAGGACCGATTAGACGCTGTTGCCAAAGCAGATCTTCTGGTCCTGTGATCTGCTTCACTGGCGAACTGAACCTGGCCACCTATTCTCGAAACGATCTTAGCTCTAGGATGTCGTAGAATCAATGTTAGAAGTTAAGATCCTAAGATATCCTAGAAACAGTGTTTGAAGTTAAAATCGTAGCGCTAAGAGCGTTTCGAGAATACCCGGCCTGAATAGAAAATTGAGTCAGTCGAAGGGAAGCCTGATGGAACGGTGGCGGTTAAGTCTTGGATCTAAACCTACCTGACATAGGATCGTCCGATAACGGAGGTGTTGTTGCCTGCCGGATCCATATGGATGAATGAATGATAGGGATAATCCTCTGTGGACCAGTCTAAAGCCATCCTGAAAGTAAAAACCGTTTCTTATTAGCTGCACCACAATCATGATCAGTTTCCAAATCAAAAGCAAAGATCTGAGACGCCGGTCTGGATCTGAATAAGTACCCTATGTAGATCTAAGTAAAAGCTATGCTGAGACCCTATTGTACATCATTTCGTAACCATGTGGAAGGCCAGGATATCGTGCCAACCCACAAGATACCCTGCTTCCTTACCACTTAAATTGATCTGATGCATGGTGTGGCAGTACCTCATTGCTCTGGATAGATGATTCGTCAATTTTCAGATGTTCCATACTTACAAATCGCCGAGTTTCTGACACACCAAATCTGCCTTGTCTTGGGTAAAGTTCGTAGCACAAACCGGAGACCAGCCCTCCGGGTGTCGGAGCAGGAACGGATAGTATACATATACGTCAACTTCGATAACTAGAAAATAATGAAACGGAGTTGTAAGTCATCTGCGGCAAATAAGTGGTGCAATAAGCCTCTTGTGCTTCATGGTAAAGATCCTCCAATAGTCAGGCCATTGAAGCTGGTGAATGTACCTTACAGGCGTTTACTGCCTTATGAATCTAGAAAGGTAGGACGTAAACCATTGGGAAATATGAAAGGACTTACTGCACGATTTTTCATCCGTGTGGTCGGAACACTGTGGCACTCCGTCACATCTTTGACTGGCTTGAATACACTCCCCGCTTAGACACCGGAACTCACCCGGCATACATTCAGCTGAAAGCATAAACCATCAATAATTACACTCTGGGATCCTCATATGAGGTTCGGGTGGCCGCATCCACCCGCAATTCCGAATACAAGTAAAGATGCTCCGCTTTGCTATTCTCTTCCGTGATCTTGAATAAGTCATCTTCCTCAACCTTCCAGTCGACCCAGCTGTAAATCACAAATGAGTGTCGTAGTCTAGCCACAAATAATCATCTTTCCTCAACCTTCCAGTCGACCCAGCAGTAAATGGATAAAGAATAAGTCATCTTTCCTCATTATTCCAGTCAACACAGCTGTAACTCACAAATGAGTGGTGTCGTCTAGTCCAAAACGTCATCTTTCCTCAACCTCCCAGTCAAACCAGCTGTAAATTGGTACAGAAGTCATCCTTCGTCATGAGAACCCAGCTCTAAATGGGTAGAGTTGTTTCTGGGATATCACAATTAGAAGAAGTCTTCTTTCTAAGGCTCTCAAAGACTTGTATGGATACTTACGGCAATTTTCTTCGTCATCAAACGTGGTTCCGCAATCCTGCAAACCGTCGCAGACCCATTCCGGCATGATGCAAATTCCGCTCTTACATTTGTACTGGCCTTGCGGACAATCTGCAAAAATAAGAAGCCGCTTTCAATTGGCAATATTCTGAGCATCTGGTGCAGCTGATACAGATTTGAATATTAAAGAAAGCTTGGTTGCCCTAAGCCTGCTTAATATACATTTTAGCTGATGTATGCTCACATCCAATTCTCAAAGTAAGGGAACTCAATGAACTGGAGGGAACCTAGTGAAACAAGATCTTACCAGTTGTGCAGTTTTCCTCATCGCTGAGGTCCGGACAGTCGTATTTGGTATCGCATCTTTGGTAGTTTTTAATACACATCCCCATTTTACACTGGTATTGATACTCATTACATTCTGAATAATAAATGAATAATAAATGAAAAATAAATGAATAATAAATGAATAATAAATAAATAATGAATAAATAATAAATTGATTATAAATTAATCATAAACAAAGAATAAATGATAATAAATGAATAATTAATAATGAATTGATAATAAATTAATTATAAATTTATCATAAACAAAGACTCAATGATAATAAATGAATAATTAATAAAAAAAAAATGAATAATTAATAATAAATGAATAATAAATGAATAATAAATGAATAATAAATAAATAATAAATGAATAATAAATAGATAATAAATGAATAGTAAATTAATCATGAACAAAGACTAATAAATAAAAATATAAATAAAATAAATAGATAAATAAATAAATAATAAAATAAAATAAAATAAAATAAAATAAAATAAAATAAATAAATAAATAAATAAATAAATAAATAAATAAATAAATAAATAAATAATAAATGATAATTACGGAATGAATGAAATAAATTAAATTAAATTAAATTAAAACAAACAAACAAATAAACAAATAAATAAATAGATAAATAAATAAATATATAAATAAATAAATAAATAAAATAAATAAAAAAAAAATTAAATTAAATTAAATTAAATTAAATTAAATTAAATTGAATCAAATCAAATCAAATCAAATCAAATTAAATTAAATATAAATAAATAAATAAATGAATAAATAATCTTTACAATCGTATCTGTCATGGAGTGGATTTTGGGCAATGTGTTTTTGTATCGTATCTGTCATGGAGAGTCGAAGTGGGACAAAGTTGATATCCATTAGGATTTGAACAATGTGTTTTTATACGTTAGTTGTCAGTTATTAATCCTCATGAATGTTACTAAACACCTCAGATGTGCGATTTGGAATGTAAAATACATATCAATCTGGCGTTGATGAATGTCTTTTGGTCTTGATTTCCACTTTTACTTCGGGTGGTTTCTTTCAGTATATTTCCCCCTGTCAGTGATGTAGGTAAGAGGGGCTGACATGGAAAAAGCTTCTAGTCGTTCAGATGGGACAATAAACCGAGGCCCCGTGTGCTTCAGGCTGTGTACGTTAAAGATCCCTCGACAGTTGGAAATTGAAAAAGAGCAGGTTAATGCCGCTGTCCTGGCAAAATTTTCCTCATTGCACCTTGCATGGTGTTGTCCGCCTGCACATGGTGCAGAAAAGTAGGACGTAAAACTCCATTCATTTCATTTCATTTCTTTCAGTATAGTCCGGGTAATTTGCCTTAAAAATGGTTTATTCCCCCACTTCAATTCTTTCCAAATCAAACATAAGATTTTAGCCCCCAAAATGTGTCTCAGAATTCACCAAATCAATTCTTTTTGAAACCTTTTCTCGAGGGAAATTGCGAAAATATTTTGTTGATTTGCCGTTATGTGTTATGAAAGTGCCATTTTTTTTTAACCACGTTTCCACCCTGTCAGTGATGCAGGTCGGTAGAGCTATTGTAATAGTCACATACCATGATTTGTACGGTATTGCACACTTCAGGGCGTCGGTGTTACGTTTCATTTGATCACAAACGGCCCTAAGTGAAAATGTCATGTCAAATTCTTGAGTAGAAAAAACACTTGCAATTATTCAGAGATTTGAATATTTTCTCTAAACCTCACAAAGGGCATTATGAACGAGTCTTTTATTCGACGAAATTCGTTGGCAATCATTCGACAATTTGAAATTCTTGAATCACAATGGGGACGAAGTACACTGCGTTCCTTTCACGCCAAAAGCATTTGAAATATTCATGCGTTTACTTTTATGTTATTAGGCGTAGTTGAAACGGGACAAAAATTCTATGGCATATTTGCAATAATAGGGCTTTTCAACCAGCAGGCAATAAGTATAGTTTATTGTCCTGGCATGTAAATAATATGCATTTTTTAACGACCACAAAAATTTGGGTCCGTTGCCGAAAGGAAAAACGAAATGAATCGAGGTTTTGAGTTCCTGGGCGTGATGAAGCTAGTAATGCCCCGCTGTGTGAAATGAGGAAAAATTTGAGCTGACTTCAACTTTTAATGGATCTTTAATGTGCACAGCCTGTAGCACACAGGGCCTCGATTTATTGTCTCATCCAAATGACTTATGATTTATATAACTTAACCAAGAGGTTTGATCAAAGACCACATGGTAGATAGGATCTTCGTGAATCTTAGTTACTATCCTTTTAGAAGCCTTACCAAGAAGTATGAACAAGGGACCAGCTGGTTGACAGGATCTTCAAGAACCTAGGTTGTTATCCTTGTAAGATCATAGTCAAGAAGTTTGGACCAAAGACGGGCTGGGCTGGTGGACAAGACCTTCAAGAACCTAAGTTTTTATCCTTGTAAGAGCATTACCAAGAGGTTTGACCAAAGACCAGTTAGCAGAGAGGATCTTCAAGAACCTAGGTTGTTATCCTTGTAAGATCATTACCAAGAGGTTTGACCAAAGATCAGTTAGTGGACAGGATCTTCAAGAACCTCTTTTCCAGAGGTTTGAACAAGGGTGGGTTGGTGGAAAAAGATTCATGAACACCTAAGTTGTTGTATCTTTCCTTCATTGCATTTCTCAACGTTCAAATTTTTGAATTGACGCATTCCAGACGTTTTCAAAATTTCATTTGCTATTCAACGAAAACTCAGCATGAGATACGTTTAATGGGCTTGACGAAAAACTTGACATGTCTGTTTTGACAAATGTACATAAAAACTAAGTGATGCATCAACGCCCTTGTTAAGACTAATATATCAATTCATTCTTTATTCAAATGCTTCAAAGGAATATGCATAAAACTTCGGCGGTATACAAAATATTAAAATACGGTGCATCTCAAATATTCGAGTGCATTTAACAATCGTGAAGGTTTTCGTGGATACTGTTTATCCTTGTTGGTCCTTAAACAAACCTCTTGGTTTTGATCTTTACCTGGATATCCTTACCCATTTACAGCCAGGTTGATTGGAATAATGAGGATCTGGTCTACTAGCTAGTCCTTGGCACCGATCTTTCCCAGATGATCCTTGCCCATTTACAGCTGGGACGACTGGAATAAAAGGGACCCTTTCTTCCAGCAGGTTCTTGACCAAACCTCTTGGCATAGATACTTCCAGGATTATCCGTACCCATTTACAGCTGGGTTGACTGGAATAATGAGGACCCTTTCTACCAGCTGGTGAATGGCAAACCATCTTGACATAGATCTTTCCCAATTGAAAAAATTCCAAAACCATTTATTGAAAGATTGAATAGAAGTGGCCAAAAAACGGAACCTTGTCTTACCCCACTATTTTCTAGGTCAAAAAATTACTGTGAAAAACATGGAAATGACGAAGTTGATTTCTGCTTGAACTCCTAATTATATCAAAGAGGATCAAAATGTCACTTTCAGACATTCAAGTAGAAGTAAATTAGATAAATGTATCAAAACATCTTCTTTTTTTCTCCTCTTGAACGTCAAAGAATGGGTTTTGTAATTATCATGAATTGCCCTAACCAAGACGGGTTATTAGGATGTTTAATTGTGGTCTCACTTGCTTGAAATTACAAAGAAACTAACCAAGAAATCTCAGAATAAAAAAAATGTTAATAAAAGTGGGGGAGGGTTGTAGCTGTATTTAAGTGTGAATAGGTAGATCCGGGATAGAGCAATACCTTTTCGGAGCTAAAAATCCAGAAATACAAATACGAACTGACTGAGTAACACATTTCTTGTGACGAAATTCTAAATATTTAAATCCGGGAAAAATCTTTGCCTTTTCTGAACAAAGGCCCCAAAATTAATTCGAAAAAAGTCAGATTTTTGTGGTAAAAGGGTTAAGGAGGGCTAAATTAAGGAGTCGTTCATCTGATAAAATTTTTGATGAAATGATACAGGGCATGAATAGAAGGTTAAAATAAACTCAATTCGCCGTGAGGTTGTCAGTTTTGAAATCTGTTTTGACTATTTCGTTAACCCTTTGATGTACATTGTTAATTTCGAGTAGCCCATGGCTAGGGAGGGGCGAGTCGCTAACTTTGGAATGTACCCTACTTATTTTTAACTCATGAATTCGAAATTTATTTCTGTTTAAATACCAACAAGATTAATGCCTATTTTTAGACTATTGTCGTAAATTTTGGAAGGTTGCTGCAAATTGGGTTGTTTTTTTTTAGAATCGAGGAAAATTTGCTAAATACTAAATACTAATCCACCACTCTACGTTTTTTATTGAATTGCAGACGAATTGGAAGGTTATTTCTGAAAAGAGATACGGGTAGAAATTGTGAATTTTTCAAAAACAGTCCTATTTTCAAAATGTACCCTTGCCTACATCTCCACCTTAATTGAGACCCTCGCTCGCTAAAAAGTTTGAAAAATAACGACGACTCTGTTTGTATAATGCACTATAATGACTTCGATATTTGTCTATGAAATATAATATGCAGTAACATGCCGACATGTGTTAGGGTGTCACATTCTTGTGGTGTTACCCTTTAAAGCGACTGTCCCTGTAGTTTTTATCTCATTTGTTTTTTGGGGGTAAATAAAATTAACACGAGTTTTAGGTCCTACATTTTTCTGGGACGAAAAAGTTCCAAAATTGTGCCACAATGAAAGGGTGTTTTGTTTTGTATTTTTGCACATAGTGGTTTTATTGAAATGGGATTTGATGCAATGCGGAAAATTTTGTCAAATTAAAAAGAAATGGTGTCTTTAAAAAATAATTTTTTGAGACGTAGGGCTTTCGACCCTAATTTCGCAAGTTGTCAAAGCAGAATATTATTTATGATGAGTATTTGTAAATGGCATCGTCTCATTAAGAAGGTGTATTCAGAGCTTGTCAGTGAGGGTGATTAACGATGTTTTGAAATGATAAACTTATTCATATACCTCATTATTCTGGTTGAAGCCACAATAGGCAGGAATTTCATTATGGGCATAATAAGAAGTTTGGGTTATTGGGGCATATAGGTTACCCATATAGGTTACCCATTCAGGTTACCCACA